CCACTGCAGCCCGCTGTAGTGGCTATAGTGCCAGATGTATGCTATCACCATCCCACACTGAGATAATCCGTTTTTAGCACCTTGCTGCATCCGGTCTTTTCCCACAAGCAAAACAGGACCGCAATCATAGGCTGAGAGCGCTCAACTGACACTCTCAGCCAATGATCCAGTTCCTACTTTACTGTAAAGTCTCCTGCTGGAGAAGACCAGATTTGACACCCATTGGATCACAGACAAGTGAGCTGTAGTGCTTATGCTACATGGCAGCTATGGAACCACAGCTGGTGCTGCCACACTGGGGCCCACAGGCTTGGTGGCCCAGTACTGCAGAGTTAGGGATGGTAAAACTAGTAATCTGTTAAAGTTTTTACAAAGGGCCCGGTAATGCTGTGTATTCCAGATGAAGACCAGACCAAATTATGGATCTGACACAGTATGGGCCCATTAAAAGATAGTACAGCCTCTGCCGCACTGGGAGCACTCAAAGTAAGCCACTTGGGAAGAAGGAACAACCCAGCAAAGCCACCTGAACACAGCTGGTGCCTACCACAAGGAAGCCACGCTCCTGGTAAAAGCTAGGCAATTAAGAGGTGACAAAAATCACTTAAATTTCAATATCTAAGTTTGTGTGTGCTTCTGTCAGTGTTAATGCATTTGTGTCAGCTAGGGTGTGTGTGTATGTCAGCCTGTGTATGTCTGTCTTCATGCATGGTGCCTGTCAGTATGTTTGTCAGTGTGTGTGCCTGTGGAGCAGTGTGTATGTCTGAATGTTATTTTGGTGTGTGCATATCCGTGAGTGTGTCTGCAATGTATATGTGTGTGATTTTGTATCAGTGTATGTCTGTGGCAGTGTATGTCTATATCACATACAAACACACAACTATGTTGAAATGCCAACACTACGCACAAAGATATCCCTACATTCATACCCACATACTCTATGCGAATTAAGCTTACATTCAAATACACAAACACTGCTCGGTGTTTACAAAAATAACCCTGCAAGGATGGACAAATGGCTCCAACGGACTGTAGAGGAGATCGTTGTTCTCGTTTTCTTGAGATGGTGAGAAGATGTAACATTATACTATGCATCTATTACTAATATGTTAATATTGTATGTTGTATCTCTGGCTGTCTACTCGTAAATAAAGAATGAAATAAAAGGATGGGCAAATGGCAGGTCCCCAGCTGGCAAAGCAATGGGGGACAGATGAGTATCTGCCTTTTGATCACCATTGCGCAACAGGGATGCCCAGAATAATTCCTTGCACCAAGGTCCTCTCCTCATTAGTTTCTCCACTGATACTTAGAGTGTTGTTTAAATCATGCAGTATGCGTCTTGGTCAACAAAGGAAAGAGGGCAGTTTGATCTCGATAATGATGCGCTCACAACTACTCTTTTTGGGGAGAGTTCCCTGTTGTCCCCAAAAGCAGGAAACCAGGGGAACAAGTTGGGATGTCAAAACAGGTCCCTAAACTGACATTCATAACACATGCCAGTTGACAATAATGGAAATGAAGTAATGGGAAGAAAGGTTGTGTCTCTTAGACTTTTTAGAAATCTCTGTGAATGATCCCTCATGCTGTGCAGGTCATACTGACAGAGGGTACAGGGATACACCTTGCAGATCCAGCAGCCTCCACTCTCAGAACCATGTACTACTTGCTCTGCATCCACACATCCATCTATCTAGCTCTCCCTTTCTCTGTTCCCAAGCCTACTTTATGTAAACATGACTCTTTGCCCCCTGTCTCCTCCTTCCGAGTTTTCCCAGTCTGTGCCTTACCTGTGCCTTACAATGTGCTGCAGGGAGGTTTTGGATGTCACTTGCTTTCAATGTGTATTCTCAGGATTTGGTAGTGACGTTGACCTGTTTCAGATCACTGCATTTACAAACTCAATGTTCCACGAGTCATCCTGTGCTCCAAATATGGAACAGTTCACTGCAGGCTGAGGCCACGGTGACATTACAGATAAGGGACTCGTCAAAATCAACTCATGTTGTTACCCAGACAGATTCAATTTATTAGTTTAGAAACTGTTACACCAAAAGTAATACATTCTGATTTTTGTTTTATTTACAGGTATATCTTTGAAAGCTCTATATAGTTTTATAGTGTATTGAGTTGTCCATTGATTTGATTAGTGTATTTGTACTTGGATACACTATTCACCTGTATAATTTTTATACTACTTGCTAACATAACAAAAAATCCACAAACACTCTGCCACTTTGGCACATATCTCTCTGGTTATTTTGTTATTCATTAAACCCCTTGAATTGTGTAAATTGACAAAAGTGAATTTCATATTTAAAGGAGCACTCCGGGCACCATAACAACATTATCAGAATTAAGTTGTTATAGTGCCAGATATCTAGCGTTGGCCTATCTTTAGAGGTTAAACCATTAATGAGTGGTTTAACCCCAAAAGGTTGAATCTAGCACCGATTAACTCTGCCCCTCTTCTTCCACTTTTGTCTGAAGCTTGAATTGGAAAACCTTGGACTGGCGCTGAGTTCTGAGTCAACCAATAGCTCCTTATTCAGAAACTTGCGTGAAGAAAATGTGTATGTTTCTCATACACAACAATGATGAAGTTGTTTTGGTGGCTGGAAGGTCAATTTAAGGCTAATATAGCTGAACTGGAAAAATTCTCCAAGTTTGCTTTGAGTTTGGCTTTTTAAGTCTAAAATTTTAAATTCACTTTGAGTTCATAACAATTCTTACTTTAGTAATAGAATCATTGTAGGGACTTCTTTTTTTCTCATTAAATGCCAATCTTTGGCAACTGACAGAGGTTTTGCCTCTAAATCCTGCCATTTCCCAATACTTATACGCCTCATCAGCTGATGAGAATATTTAGCATCTCTATGGCAGCCTATGCAATCGTACTATTGCCAAGGTCAAACAGTCCAGTATTTAGGAATTTCATAATTTCCGACTCGCATACTGAAATGGACCTTTAAAGGAGCACTAGCGTAACGCCATACTGTCCTAGTCACAATTTAGTTGACGGACGCTCTGGAAGAGTTATTTTACTTACATTTTATCCCACACTGTGCAGTTTTCTCAATGTTTAACACTGCAGGGTTAAGATGAGAGAGCATGGCACCCAGACCACTGATTAAGTGGTTCGGGTGCCTATAATGTCCCTTTAAAGGGGACCTTTCTCAACCCACAATTTTTAATATTGTTTACTTATCCCTATATTTAGCAAATAAGTATTTGGACGATGTGAAAAACAAAGTTAAATGTCTTTATCCCATAGCCTCCATCCTGGTGCCTTCATTTTAGGTCCGTCCGGCAGTCAGCAAAGAGAAATTATACAGAGAAGAGTAGAAATTATACAATGACTGTTTATCCACTTGATTAGCAATGCTTACCATGGCTTTGTCTTCTCCGAACAGGATTATAATGTAATTAGCTAAATCTTTAAAGGAACACTATAGGGTCAGGAACACAAACCTGTATTCCTGACCCTATAGTGTTAAAACCACCATCTAGCCTACCATGGCCCCTAAATATAGTAAAATCTTACTTGTATTTAAGTCTGCAGTTGCTGTCTCAAGGGCAGAGCCAGAACAAGCCAAACACAGCCCTGGCCAATCAGCATCTCCTCATAGTGGACATTGAATCAATGCATATCTATGAGGAAAGTTCAGTTTCTGCATGCAGAAGGTGGAGACACTGAATGGCAGTACTGCACAGTGTGCAGCACTGCCCGAGGAAGCACCTCTAGTAGCCATCTGAGGAGTGGCCAGTGGAGATATCCCTGTTTACTGCAAAAAGCCTGTAGGGAATGATTTTACTCACCAAAACAAATACAATAAGCTGCCGTTGTTCTGGCGACTATAGTTTCCCTTTAATATAAACTTAAAAAAGAAGCACAAGTAATTTCCCATTATTAAAGGGTGTAAATTAAAGAGAAGAGACCGTTCCCCTTTTAACAACTTACTGGTTCATTTGCACCCCATTGCTGTCCGGTGTAACCAACTCCTATATCTGATTCTCGACGGGTTACTCTAAAGTAAATTTCAAATTGTAGACCATGACACCTGAACTGAAAACACAGCCTAGTTGCAAAGTTTTTAGAGTTTGACCACTTTGGTCTTTTAAGTTTCAAAATTGAATTCCGTACAATTTCCACGTTAGTGAATAATATAACCCTGGTAATGTCCACATTCAGCACACCCAATGTTGTGGAGTACATCTTCCATAATGCTTTCGAAGCATCAAGGAACATTTAGTCCACACGATCTGGAGTGCCTATTGGGAAGATTTAGTCCTCAAAGTAGCATTTGTCAGTATCCCCACTGAAGAAATGGGAAATGCCTTATCTCTGGACCTTCGGTGAGCCTTGAGGATTGGTTTGGGAACTGTTGAACTAGTGCAGGGGTAGGCACCCTTCAGCACTCCAGATGTTGTGGACTGCATCTCCCATAATACTCTTACAGCCATGATGCTGGCAAACCATCAGGGGAGGTGTAGTTCACAAAATCTGGAGTGCCAAAGGTTGTCTATCCCTATCCTAGTAAATAGTCCTCAAGGTAAGCCACATCCTAAAATATAACCATTTAACTATAGCAGCAAGGGGGACAGAGATCCAGAGGGACATTTAATACAAAGGTACTTGGTGCGTTAAAAACGCTACACACAGACAAAGACGCACGTAATACCCAGACAATGACACGTACCAAATACTAAGGGGTAACAATCAATAAAATGGCGTATGCAGCAACAGACGTCTTGTGTATTTTCTTGTATGTCTTTTTCCACTTGCCAATATTTATGGTTTGAGAACGTCTGCTGTTATCAAGCTAAGGGTGTTTGCAGTAATTGAAGGTGATGGAAAGATTAGATTTCCATTAAAGTCAGATAATGCTTTCAATAACGATAACTATCACATTCTAACGTTTATTACCATTTATTTAGCCCCCAACCCACACTCGCGGCGCATTTATATTGAACCAGACAGACATGGAGACAATTAAATGCTCAGATTTTAATCAAAGGAGCAGCAGTAGAATACATAACCGCTAATAAACACAAGGCCATGGCAAGTTACAGTTTGTTTTCCCTAACCAGCTACTGGTGTCCCTCGGCTGGTATCAGGAACTCAGATTGGGGGGGTCATAGATTACGTAGCAAACCAAGAAATTTGCCACAGTTCAAACCAATGTTCTCATCCCCAGATGCCTTTGATTAGATCAGTGGCTCATTTTGCATTCAAAAGACCTTTTCTTCTGTATAAAAAATCCAAACAGCTGACACCCATGGGTATTCTCCACCCGTTGCAGGCTAATTAAGAGGCAACCGGAAATTAAAATCTGCTGAAACATAAGCATGTTGTTTTTTTTAATAAACATTTCTTCAGAACTCTGGATATTAGTTTGCAAAAACCAGAGAAACAAAAAAAAAAATCTAGAACAACAACCTCTCCCCCCTCTGTCCCCCCCCCACTCCTTTTATTTTCATCAGTATATGCTCTTCACAACAACAACAAAAAAACATATCCAAGATCCTAGTAAGCACTGTGTAACCACAAAAATGTAAGCAGTTATATTTCAAAAAGAAGAGACATTTGGGATAATTTATATAAATCAGATAACTTCAGGACAAGGTAAATCAATCACCATGGAAACCAGTGACATTTTCCTGCTAAATTATTTACTTTTAGAACCTTGTTTATTATATTATGACATACCAACCCTTGAATAAATAAAACCGGGTATGGCGGGCAAGAGTTGGCGGTATCCACTACTAGGGATGTGCATGGGGAAAATATTCAGTTCGGTTCGGCATGCCGAAATACGGGACTTCGGATGTTCTTTTCAGCTGCTTAGTAGATAACTCCCTAATTCCCACGGTATCTACCAAAAGGATGAAAGACCTAAATTGGTCTTTCAGACAAATTTACTAATACTAAGTAAAAATTACTTAGTATTAGTACATTCTGCCCGTACTCGCTATACCGCAAGTAGGGGCATGTCTATTTAACAGTGAGCAGCCTGGGTCCCCCATCCCTCCCTTATTTCACTTTAGGGCCTCAACCCGCCGCTCAGGGGTGGGGGCCGGGGGGAGGACAATAGGTCCCCCCCCTTGAAGTATTTTAGGGTCCCCACCCACCACTCACGGGTGGGGGCCAGTGGGAGGACAATAGGTCCCCCCCCTTATTCTTCTTTAGGGCTCCCACCCGCTGTTCAGGGGTGGGGGCTGGGGGGGAGAACAATAGGCCCCCCCCCTTATTTTACTTTAGGGCCACCACCTGCCGCTCAGGGGTGGGGGCCGGGGGGGGACAATAGGTCCCCCCTTTAGTTTAAAAGCCCCAAAGCCCCCACTCGCGCATCATGGGTGGGGGCTCGGGAGGGGGGGACACTTTTTTTTTTTTAAACAGTGAGCAGCCACAGGCTGCTCACTGTTTAATACACATGCCCCTACTCGCGGTATAGCGAATAGGGGCAGATTATTTACTAATACTAAGTCATTTTTACTTAGTATTAGTAAATTTGGCTGAAAGACCAATTTAGGTCTTTCAGCCTTTTGGTAGATAGCTCCCTAATACAGTGGGAATTAGGGAGTTATCTACTTACTCATCCCCATCCATTGACTGTAATGGAAGTAACTTACATTTTATATGAATGTGTGTTACTTGAATGTTGTAAGTGTTGCAAATGCTTACAGCTGAATCCTGGCTATGTTTGTATACTTTTTATTTAAACTGGTATACAGTGTAACATTCTTCATTCTTCCCCTTTGGAATTTCGGAAATTCAGCTATTCGACATTTGGAAGTCTCTGAACGTCCGAATTGCCTGAAATTCGTCCGAATTGACATTCAGAACTAAAACGAATTGCACATGTCTATCCACTACTACTTCTAAAAGGCTGACATATAATTGTATGATCTTTCGAGCAGGGACCTCATTAAACTATTAATACTGTAACATTTTGCAATTGTCTAATTTACTGTAAAATTTTCCCCTTTATAATATTTTAAATCGCTGCGGAATAAGTTGGAGCTATATGTGACGAACTGAGCCTCGTCACTTGTGCTTGCAGGGACCTGCTGGCCAGCCTCTTACCAAAAGACTATGGGCCCTTTAAAAACTATGTGAACAGACTTGGTTCGTGGGATTTTATATTTGGTTCGGAAACCGAACAGCCGCACAATCTGGAGACCACCCTCGAGCTTGTTAAGCCTAATTGATACTTTGTCGCAATTTCCACTGCAGTGTTCTAAGTGTTCGTCTGGGTGGCCGCAATTTCTATGGATGACCACAAGGTGGCGGCCATCTTGTTCGCATGAAAGCAGGCATCGGTGTTTGGGCATGAATCTCATGGAACTGAAAATGGACACAGAAACCCCCAAACACCACTGGACTTCCAGCATCGCCTGCGTTCGGTTCTACAACACTACAGAAAGGCGCTGTTCAGTGAAAACGTTCCCACGAACAAGGGGATCAAGCTCCAGGGCAAGACTATTGACTCTGTTTGGTAGTTTGTTCATTTTTAAACTACCGAACTAGAACGATCGCAAGCCCTGATTCTCTGGAACTGTTTTGGGCATGGGACCATGCGGGCTCTAGGTCAAATTATGACTTCAAGGAAGTTCCTGAACCCCTGACCTAATCTGGGTGATTTTTGGATATGGTGGTCACCCAGATCAGGGCTATCAGGGGATGTAACTTTTGTAGGGATTTTGTGTGTTTTAAGGTATTTTTTTTTTAAATGTGTTTTTTATGCCTGGAGATAATTAAGTTTAATAGAGTGCTCACTCGATTATCTCCCAGGCACAGGGGAGGGATTGGCAAACAAACAAAAGGACGGGACTGCGCCAATAGGCAAGGTAAATTAAATTTAAAGTCCTGGTAGGGGTAGTAATAATACAACGGAGTCCAGTATAGTGGAACTTGGATCCTAGGTTGGTCTCTGGAGTTGTAGGGTTCTGCTCCTTGCAGGTTTCGAATGTATGGAAGAGGGCGATGAGTGATGAAAAGGGTGATGGTACAGGTTGATCCAAGAGATAAAAAAAATAGAAGAGATCTTACTCACTTTTTGTAGAGCTTAATCCAGCTCTGGTGTGAATAGCTTGCAGCGGTATGATCCCCGCTTCTGGGATATGCGGTGAGTTTCCTCTTTGGTGCAGTAACAGACAGCAAGTAGGGAGATAAAACGAAAACAATGATGGTGCAGTATGTTCCAAAAATTAGGTAAGAAATATTAAAATATAGTAGAACCACATAGTGTTGTAGGCATACAGCGGTATGATTTCCCGCCTCTGGGATATATGGTGAGATGGTCTTTGAGATGGTAATAGGAGCTCGGAGGGAAGATGATAAAACAGCAATAGTGCTCTCAGTAAAATATTTCTGGTATATAAAATATAATAAAATATACTCACAGTATATAGGGCAGGCTAACTGCTCTATGACACGGGTGGTATAATCCCCACCTAAGGATTTTTTAGAGTATAAGAAAAGGTAAAATAAAGTAAAAAGCCAGGTAGTAGTAAAATAATAATAAAAAGTGTAAATAAAAGATAATGGTGCAAAATAGTAAAAAGAACCAAAATCTATTTATTAACAATAATTTAAAAGCAGTACAATATCCAAATGCGTTTCACCAATATAGGCTTTATCAATGGATTAAAACACTTACAACCTGACTAGTTGGGGTACATATAGGCATGGGACAAATTGAAAATGGCACCAAAACTGCTCTGACAGGGGAGGGATTGACCTATTTTGTATGGGAGTATCCTGGACCAGAGAGCCAATGTAATCGTGTATATGTATTTACTGTAGACTACTCACAGGTCCAGGGGGGAGTGCCCTTGCACGGGGACCTGCATATAAGGCCAGTTGTGCCTGCCATTAAACAGATTTCGTTTTACCCTTCAATAAAGTCTAGGCTCATGTTTAGGGAATTGGAGAGCTATATTCACTCTGGGGATTGCTATAATCACTATACTCTCTTGGATCACAACGATTGCTCTTGCAAGAGCAGCCTGCTTTGCTTTCTAGACTAGAAGAGGTCTACCCACTGGAAGCTGGATCCTGGTCTTGGGTCCAGGGTGGGTGGAGGACATTTACGGTGGTTATGGTGTTCCAGTGTGGTGCTTATGGTACTCAAGGTTTACTAGGAAGCAGCGATTGACTGAGGTACCCGGTCGGATATATAAATACCAATAATAAATATATATTTTGTATAATATAGAACAAACAAAGGTAACCACAAAAACAAAGTAGCAAACCCAAACTGGAGGAACGTAAGTGTGCATTAAACAAGTTTAGTATAATAATGATCTGTGTGGCAAGACTCATCAAACAACATAAGCAGGAGTTTCCAAAGGTGTTATACCCACTGGGGGCTAAAGGTGGAAAGTCATATGTTTATAGGGCACAAGCGGGTACGATGGAGCTACCAAGGAGTTGTGAAGTATTCCTAAATTGTGTAGTAAACACATATATATATATAGACTATTGTTTTCCCGTCACTATAGTTTCTCTTTAAGGGCGACGTTGCACCCAGACCACTTTAATGAGCGGAGTGACTATAGTTTCCCTTTAAGTTGTTAAATGTTTCTTCCCGCATGACGCTGCTTTATAACATTTTGGGATTATTCAGTAAAAAGTTCTTTTAAAAAAAAAAAAAAAAAAAAATCAAGAATTTTACACCAAAACTAGCTGAACTGCAATACTGGATTAAACCTTGAAATTCAATTTACAATAAATAAATAAATAAATAAAAAATTGCCATTTAAATAAATAGCCCTATTTATATCCTGCAGATCCACTGGTTGGATACTGTTTCCATGGAAGGAAAAAAAAAAAAAAAAAGTTCCATCTAAGTAGCTAATGACGTCACTGCCATTCCCAAAGCAGGATACGTTCCAGAGCCCCTCGGTGCGCATGCGCAGTTGTCTGCAGCGAGAGAAGGGGGCGGGGCCCAGCAGCGCGCGCGCCAAACGCAGAGGGAAAGGGCGTAAGCCACGCCCACCCCAGGCGCGAGAGAGGTGGGCGGGTCCACGCCTGCGCGCGACTGGCCCGTTACCCGGAGACGCGCGCCGGACAGAACCCGCGCTGCAGCCGCCACAGCGAAGCCGGGCCTCCAGGGTGGGAGCTGAGAGGACGGAGCGGAGCCCCGAGCGATGCCCAGGAGGAAGGTGAGAGACACGGGGAGAGGGGCGGAGAGCTGCGCTGAGGGGAGAGCCCGCTCTGTTCGGGGCCGCGTCGCACGCCCCCCTCCGCGACTCACGGTGGACGGCGGAAGCACCGGCTGCAGAGACGGCCAGAGCGAGCTGCGTCAGCGGTCTGTGAATGGGGGAAACGCAGGCAAAACAAGGCCTGGTGTCGGTTAGTTGGCTCTATTTTCTGATTGGCTGGTTTCTGGCCGTACTGCGCGCTGATTGGTCGGCTCGGTGTTGACGCCGGCGCGGATAGGTCACATGGAATGTCAGTCAAGGGCTCGCACTTGGCGTGCTGTTCATTGATAATCGGAGGCGCCAATGGTGTTCTGGCCACGCCCTCTGTGTAAAGTTCTGCTGCGATTGGCCGCCGAGCTCGTGACGTTTACCAGGCTGCCGCGCCTCCGTGGCTTGTGATTGGCTCTCCAAGTTTCCTGGCTGCTGATTGGTCAGGGCTGAGCCGTGTGGGGGGGTGTAGTCAAAACAAATACTGTCAGTGGTTGGTGTTCATGCATTTTTAAGTTAGGGGACTACAACTCCCATGATGCTTTGCCTTTAAGAATCTCTGAGCATCATGGAATGTGTAGTCCTACCTCAATCTAATTCTGCATTAAATGCAGATTAACAAATGTAGTCCTTTTTCTTCTTGGTTGGTTGTGCTTTTCCTGCACTATGTGCACTAGGATAAGAATACCATAGATTTGTCAGAGATGTTTGCCTGAGATGAGTTAAAGTGTTATTTCAACTTTAGCTGAGAAAAGGTTGACATGTGTAGCTTTGAATAAAGCTGGTGTTTTTGTGTTCTTTGGATTCAACAGAGGTTCTTTAAAATAGAACTGTTACTTCTCTGGAACAGAAAGTACTTGTTTCCCACTCTCCTGTAAATGCTATTGAAGCGTTTAATCCGGTGAGTACTGCAGTGCTAAGTAGTAAACATACCTCATTTAGCACATCCTCATTCAGGCCAACTTAGACATACGCTGATTCTTTGGGGAAAGAGGGGGGAGCTTGCAAAGGCTACAAACCACAGCTGGTATTTTATGTGCCCAAAGAAAAAATGCAGGCAAAAACATTGCATGTGTTCTTTGGGGGTATAATCTAATAAATACTTAAAAAAAAAAAAATTTATAAAATCATTTTACTGGAGTGTTCCTTTATTGAAATGGAGGGGAACTGGTGGTGTGGCTTGGTCTTGTAAACATATAAGCATCAGTTTATCAAAAACACTTAAGCTTAAAAGAGAACACACCTGACACCATAACTACTTAATCTCAATGCAGTGGCTTACCTTCCAGTGTTAGAACATATTCAAATGGATTAACACTGAAGTAGTGTCCCCAGGCATCAGTCAGACTGCTTCTCCTCTGGTCCTTGTCCTAATGCTGAAGTGTTTTCTTGAGCACCGATGGGAGGCAGTTCGGTGTAGTATATCTGTACAGTCAGTAACATGACTGTATACTAATATACTGTAGTCTTTGACCAGCCTAATAACAAAGTTGAGGTTTGGATTGCAATTCCCATTGTGGGTCTATGATATTCTGATGTGGTTTGTAGTGTTTTTTTGTTTGTTTGTTTGTTTTGAAATATTTTACATAAGACATTTGTAGACATCCTTTTTAGCACTCTGTAAATAAATTCCATCTCTAGAGTATCAAAAAAGAATGCGTCCGCAGGATAGGGGAAAAGACTTTTACAACATGCGCTGAGTTCAGACTCACCACTTTTTTGAACACCTGTGTAATAGCTCTATAGGGGGATCCTGTGGAATTTTCTATTGATTTGTTTTTTTTTTACTCTGTCTGCTGGCAGATGAAGCCAATAATAAGTTAGTGGTGTCCACTGTGAAATGGTTCAGCTAAGTATTTTATCTTTTCCCTTGCTGCTACAGTAGAAGCAAACTTGTCACCTTGAGTTTTATTCAGTTTTTTTTTTTTTCACGGTGACAATGATGCTATGAGGTATCCAGTTTAGCTGCCTTTGCAGTGTTACATCCATTTCTAAAAAGGAGTGGCTTGCAGTTGTGCCAGGTTGGGCCTATTCTCTCTCTATTGTCAATCAAGAAGTGGAAGTGTGTGGGTATGTATTTAGGAATGAGTGATTGTGTTGATGGTGTCCTATTTCTGAGTTAGATTCCATCTGAATGAGCAGAATGTATAACTGTAAATCCTAATGCCAGTTTGTTGCACCATAGAGGAATGCTGAAAGTGGTTCGGATGGGACAGAAGATTCCGATTTCTCTACAGACATGGAGCATACAGACAGCTCAGAAAGTGACGGTAACTCCCGGGGCCCAGCACGCATCACTCGATCCACAGCCAGACTAAGTCAAAGCTCTCAAGGTGAGTGCTGATGTGTTTTCTCGCTAGAGGCTTTGGGGCAATAAGTACTGGTCGGCTAATTGTTTGTTCAGTCGTATTTAGAACGTCTATAGTCAGATTCCGATGGCAGTCACACAACAAAATATGTCATTGTCTCTAAAAATATTCTTGCTGTTAGTGTAACTTCAACCAGTGCTCTTGTTGCTAGTGTGAAAATTGTGCTCTGTCAACAAAGCTTACATTAAAACAGTGGTGAGAAGTATACTGATTACATAAAGACAAGTTATGTAAAAACAATACCTTTAAAGATTGCAACACCGTGACAGGATGCTGAGAAGGTTTGGTGTTAAAATGCAGTATTTTGTTTTTGTACAACAAAGTGACATGCGATGCTAATTATCTCAAGAAAAAGCACGCGTTGATACCAGCAACTTCTGTGGACTTAGTAGTTTTGATTGAGGCTGCTCAGGTTTGCATTGGATATGATTGTATATTCCCAGTGGTTGAAAAAGCATTGCATATACGAAGTTGAAATGCTTATGTGTGTTACTCATTAGCGAATTAGCATTGCAAACACACTTTTTTTTTTTTTTTTTCTCTTTCTTTTTTTGCCATCACTTTGTACATGCACACAGCAATTAATTTTAATTAACGCAGCAGCTATTGCTAATTCGGTCTAGTTCCTAAATTGGCAGGATTTTATCGCCTACAGAAAACAGCTGTTTCCTTTCCTCCACTTTAAGCTATTCTGTCTTACTCTGCTCTTGTTGGGAGATACTGCCTTGTCAGCTTCATTAGCTACTAAACCATGTATTATGTGTATAGGGTGGGGGTTAGGTATTGCCTTTACAGTATTATTCCCATCACATTGCAAGGAGTGGATTGGAATATATTCTCTAAAACTTCTGTCCAATTTGTCCCATGTAATGACAGTTGTTTCTGTATGGGGACCCTGCATATCTGTGCATTCTAAGGCATAATATACACTGGGGCTAGACAGGTATATTGACATTTTAGAAGTCTGGTTGGCAGACAAATGGGGTTATGTACAAAATGTTTTCTGTCCACTTTTTTAGGCATTTTTTCTGGCACCAAATTGTTCCTTACTGTTCCTTACCTGCCATTTTATTTGCCTATTTATTATTTCATTTTTGGTACTTTTTGCTCACAAATATGTTGCTGGCAATATGTTAAAGGTGCAGAAGTGCACCTCCCCCTCCAAACAATTAACAATCTTTGTTTTTTATTTTTAAGAAAAAAACCTTCAATTTACAAATGCACGTTTGTTTTCAGTAGTAATTATATTCATTTGTATTAGTTTCTGAATGTAATCAATTGGTAAATTATCAGCAGAAAGAATCTGAAAGAGGAGTGAATGGGATTATTACAGAAAAGGAGGTAAAATGTGTCAAGGATGGAGTAAACCGTTTTATCAATACTCGTACAGCGCTAAGGAATTTGCTGGCGCTATATAAATTATAATCGATAAGAAAATGGCGCATGAGTACAAAACTGGCCCAAATTCTTTAATTACAAGCTTTCGGGGGAACTTCCTTTTCTCAAGTCTAAAGCATAGAACTCAAAGCTGAGTTGTGATACAGGGGTTAACCCCTTAAGGACACATGACATGTGTGACATGTCATGATTACCTTTTATTCCAGAAGTTTGGTCCTTAAGGGATTAAAGCGACATGAGTACTGTTTTACTCTGGAGACTTCGCTGAACACGAATATTAGTGATTCAAAACAGTAAAGCATATTATAGCGATGATATTGTCAGGGAGAGTGACTTTTTTGCATTTTTCACACACAAACTGCACTTTCACTGATGAAATCATTGTTCTACGTTTTACTGTTTTGAAACACTATTTGTATTCAGCGAAGTCTCTTGAGTATAACAATACCCCCAATGTGGTTTTATAGTGTTTTTGAAAGTTACAGGGTCAAATATAAGGCTTGATTTTCCATTTCTTCACATTGAAATTTGCCAGATTGGTTATGTGGCCTTTGAGAGTGTATAATTCTGCATTTGCATATTTTTTTGCATTTTTAACACACAAACAAACATAAATGCTAACTTTGGCCAGTGTTTGTGATTGGATATACCCGATATTGAATACCCTGGGTTGTCTAATTTAAAAAAATATATATATGTACATATGAGGTGTGATTCAGAGATTTGTCAGATAACAGTGTTACAATGTCCCTATTGATACATTTTAAAAATAAATATTTTGAAACAGCAATGTCCTACTTGTACTTATAGCCCTATAACTTGTAAAACAAATCTAAGAACATGTTAACATTGGGTATTTCTAAACTCAGGACAAAATTTATAAACTATTTGGCATGGGTGTCTTTTGGCGGTTGTAGAAGGCTAACAGATTTTGGCAGTCAAACTTAAAAAAAAAAAAGTGTGTTTAAAAAAAAAAAATAGAATTTTTTATTCTCTTAAATTATATGATGAAAATAATGGTATCTTTAGACCATTTAATGGCGAGAAAAACTGTATATAATATGTGTGGGTGCAGTAAATGAGTAAGAAGAAAATTACAGCTAAACACGAGCTGAAGGAGCTGAAGAGGAGCGACTGGATGTAGATGGCAGCGGCCATAAGGGATAGGTTTAGATAAGTGAAACTTACCTTCTCTTGCATCCCATGGCCACCAGAAGCCAAGCGGAGCAGTCACTGTTTGGTGTCTTTGTAAATCATGCAAAGTCCCCAGATGGTGATAGGTACCTTAATAAAAAAGCATATTGTATGGCTTCTAAATGATTCATCTGTTCTCATCTACAGATAAGAAAGAGCAGGAAGCAGTAAAAAAACCTCACAACATGGAAAAATGTATGGGATTGGCAAACATTAAATGGTTACCATACTTCTAGGAATACAAAGCTGTATTCCCTCTGATGGACAGCCACTAGAGGCAGTCTTAGTCCTGTAATGTATTGCAATAATTAACAATGCAGAATTAAGAGGACAGGGTCACTGCACCCAGACAACTTCAATGAGATGTTTTTAAATTCCCAGCCATTGTAGAACGGTATGATACTTGGACATTTATATGAGCTTTTCCTTGTACACCTTACAGTTTCTTAATTTGACGAGTAATGAGGAATTGACTGTATATTATAGGCAAGTTTGACAAATTGTGAAGAATATTGCTTATTTATTGCTATCTCTAACAGTGGTTTTACTTTAATTATATCTGCAATACAACAGTGATTTGTAAGTTGTGGGATTATCAAAAGCAGATGTAGCAGGGCATCTTAAAACAGAAAGTGAAACAGATTTTTGAGTTTAATGGGGAAGTTGTAGTATGGAATTTTCCACCTGTTTAATACGTTATCAAGGTAGTGTGTTTAAAAAAGCAATGCCCCTTCCTGTGATGTCTGATGCCATCTCGAAAGTTACTAGGATCAAGCACATGTAATGCAGTATATAACTTGAGTGAAGGACGGTAGTTAATTGGCAGGGAAATTTACAGAAAAGGAATATCCCACGGTGCCCTATGCTTGCACTCTTGGCACCATGGGAGTGACTAGAGGGCAGGCCTGAGCACCAGGATGACAGAATCCGTAAAAGGAAAACCTGTTTATAGTTTATACTCTGCTACCCACATCACAAAAGTTGACAGCTCTTTAGATATCTCCTCTTAATATGACTAATTGTTGTCTGACAGACATTACACCTAAACATGACAGTTTGGGTAATGTCAGATAGTATCCTGTTTTCATTTGAGGCAATATATCCATTTAACTGATGCTGTGATCAGAAAAGTGATATATAATCTTTATTTAGTAAATAACTGTCCAATCGTCTTATTTAGCAATAGTATAGAGCAGGACTTACATTTTATGCTCACTGTTGGTGAGTGAACATTTTTCCCTAGTGAGGATGCTGCGACTTGCAGTGGTAAGTAACTTTTTAAGGGTCACAATAGGCATCCAGACCACTTCTTCTTATTGAAGTGGTCTGTGTGCAGTGTCCCAGCACCCTTAACCCTGGAAAGGTAATTATTTCAGTTTTTTATTAACTGCAACAATTACCTTTATGGGTTAACTCCTCCTCTAGTGGCTATCTACCAGACTTTTTGTCGTCTAACTTACGCTGGACGTCCTCACGCTATGCATAAGGACATCCAGCGTCACCAGAATCTCCATGGGAAAGCATTGCATAATGCTTTCCTATGGGGAAATTCTAATGCGAGCACGGGCATTGGCGTACATATGTGTTAGGTCTTCCCTGATGGCGGGGGAGGAGTGGAAGCGGACCCCAGCCAGCGCTGAGGGACATAGATGCTGGACCCATGTAAGTAACAGAAGAGGTTTTTAAGGGAGGGAGGTGGGCACTATAGGGAGCTATAGTGCCAGAAAAACAGCTGTTTTCCTGGCACTAAAGTTTCCCTTTTAGGACTTGCTAGTAGCATAGGACTTCAAAAATACTTGTTTTCCTGGCACCATAGAATCCTACAGTGCCCCACCCTCCCGCGGGGCTGAAGAGGTTAAAACACCCTCAGTCACTTACCTGATTACTGAGCCGTTGTTCATACTCCCACATCTGATGCTCGCCTCCAAGACATCTCCAGGGCTGCATCTTTTCTGTGGAACTCCCTTCTCTTAAACTGTCACCCAGTCTCCACCCCTTCAAAAAATCTTTGAAAACACACTTCTTCAGGAAAGCATATCATTTAAACTTTTAGCGGATTTTCATACCCCACTCCCATGACTTCTCTCCTGCAACTGTCAAAAATAACCCAAGTTCTCAGTGAATACTTCTCTAGCAACCTATTTCATTACCCCTACTTATACCCTTTGTGTCACTATACCCAACTCCTTCTTGCATGTAAGCTTATTGAGTAGGGCCCTCAACCCCTCTGTTCCTGTGCGTCCATTTGTCTGGTTACAGTTACGTGTCTATTACTCCAGCCATCCACCCACCGCTACGGAATTTGCTGGCGCTACATAAATGATAAAATAATAATGTCCCTCGGCGCTGGATCAGGACTTGCCCACACTCATCCCCTGCCGACATCAGCCGCCGGGGGAGACCTAAAGCGCATGCGTGGCAATGGGTGTGCTCGTATTAGGATTTCGTAGTCGGGAAGCATTGTTCAATGCTTTCCTATGGGGAAAAATTTGACACTGAAGGTCCTCATTTAATTTATTGTGAAGAAGATTTTTAACTTTTTTTTTAATTCTCAGTCAGCATTTTGATTAAAAGGGGGGGGAAAAGGAATGTTGCTGTGCTTTTATTCTTTATTATTTTTTTCTCCTTTCCTTGCCTGCAGAAAAGATCCAGACAATGTACGCACACTGTCTCTCTGCAGATTAAAGGAATGCTCCAGGGTGGATTTACTTTGGGGGTTTACGCATTAAAATGTACTTTAATAAAAGCAAGACTCTGAGCTCTGAATGTCCCTCAATTGAATCAGGCTCTCCGTATCTGCTGCATTTGCAGTGCAGTATTTAGAAACAAAGGACATTTTAAGGTGTGTTATCCTCCAATAGCTTTCAGTGTAGGTGCCTTTTTTTTTATCTATAGTTACATAAGACCTCCTGTAGCTAGTGCTTATGTGCATTGACCTATTGTCACTTTCTTTTTATTGGACAAGCATAAATGTCAAGAGGGAATGTAACTTTACAGGGGCTTTTAGACGTGCACTTCAGTGCTCCTTGTTGTTGCTATGCTTGAGAATTGGTCAGTGGAGAGCCACAAACCTCTTCACTGGATATACGTTTTCCAGGTCTTCCCATTGAAACCGAGAGACCGTTTATCTCCATATTATGTTAGATGCATTCCTGAAGATTGTTTGGAACACAGATTGTAAAGCTGAAAGACCTGTGCTATTTATTGGATTAAAGTTACCCAAAGCACCATAACCATTTAACTGATTTGAAGTGGTCATAGTACTTGAAGACTCTATATGCAGCATTTTGCTTTGACCGTTGCAGCAGAGAGATTAAACTATGTAAGTCCACCTCTGGACATGTCATTGGAGTCATTAGCCAGGACTGAACACGAGTTTCGGGTGGCTAATTTGAAAGTGGCCGTCAGACAGCCGTGGAGGATTGGGCTGCAGGGAGAACTTTGCTTTGGGCACTGAATCAAGGTGAATTTTAGCTGCTTTATTTATTTTGAATATATGGAGACAGACCAACATTGGGTTAGACTTTATGAAAACACTGGTTTTTGGTTGGAGTAACCCTTTATGTTTTCATTATTTTATATAGATACCTACCCAATGTTTTACAGTGGAATAGATTCTAGCATATACACAGTGCTCCAAAACCTTTAGAGTGGTATAAACACTGGTAATGGGCTAATGTACTTCATTGCTTTTGATAGACCCAAAACTGTGTTTGTCTGGTTTATCAAGAGAAAACAAACTATGAATTAACCCCTTAAGACTGGAGGGCGTACTATTACGCCCAATTTTAGGCGGTTCTAAACGCCGCCGGGCGTAATAGTACGCCCTCCGGTCTTTCATTACTTACCCGGTCGCCGGCGGTCCCACGCCAGCGATCACGGTGGGGGGGGACTCCCAGGGATGCCCCTCCTCCGATGCTCCCCGGCCATGTGAGAGTGAGGTCCTTCGGAGGACCTCCCAATCACATGGCCGGGATAGCTGGCTGGAAATAAAAATAAAATTAGTGTAAAATTTTATATATATATATATATATATATATATATATATATATATATATATATATATATATATATATATATATATATATATATATATATATATAGAGAGAGATATAGATATATACACACACACACTGTCTAGGTGTATTTTACTATTAATATATATATTATTAATATCAAATTACACGTATACTGATTATATATATATATATAATTATTGTTATATATATATATTTATAATATAAAAAAATTAAATATGTAAATACGTTAAAAAATAAAATTAAAAAATAATTTAAAAAATATATAGATGTGTTATGTTGTTCTAACTGTAGTGTGATTAATATATATATATATTTATATCAAAATACACGTAGAACAAAATAATATATATCTATATACATAAATATATACGTATATATCACTATATACCTATATATAAATATTTTTAAAAATTTATATATACATATATATTCACATACATATATTAATTCTACATATATATTTATGTAATATTTTTACATAATTAGGTATCTTAATTACAATTAGCGGGATCTGCCTGACAACCCATGACAAAAGTAAAGGGAATTTAATTAGCTAGCACTATATTTAACCCTGTAACTTTCCAAGACACCATAAAACCTGTACATGGGGGGTACTGTTCTACTCGGGAGACTTCGCTGAACACAAATATTAGTGTTTCGAAACCGTAAAATGTATTACAACGATGATATTGCCAGTAAAAGTGAAGTTTTTTGCATTTGTTTTTTCACAAACAGCACTTACACGACGATATTATTGCTGCGATACTTTTTACTGTTTAGAAACACAAATAATTGTGTTCAGCGAAGTCTCCTGAGTACAACCGTACCCCTCATGTACAGGTTTTATGGTGTTTTCAAAAGTTACAGCGTCAAACATAAGGCTTGTGTATCATTTTTTTTCACCTTAGAATTCAACAGATTGGTTACTTGCCTTTGAGACACTATGGTAGCCCAAGAATGAAAATTACCCCTATGATGGCATACCATTTGCAATAGTAGACAACCCAAGGTATTGCAAACTGGGTATGCCCAGTCTTTTTTAGTAGCCACTTAGTCACAAACACTGGCCAAAATTGGCGTTTTTTTGCATTTTTCACACACAACAAATACGAACGCTAACTTTGGCCAGTGTTTGTGACCAAATGGCTACTAAAATAGGATAGGCATAAGGCTATCCTAACTATAAGATAAGACTAGGGAGTAATGAAAGTATTTAGAAAATTGGGCAGACTAGATGGGCCGAATGGTTCTTATCTGCCATCACATTCTATGAGTCTATAAAAAAGACTGGACATACCCCATTTGCAATACCTTGGGTTGTCTACTATTGCAAATGGTATGCCATTATGGGTGTAAATTTATTTCCTGGGCTATTATAAAGTCCCAAAGGCAAGGTAACCAATCTGGCGAATTTCAATTTCAAATGTAACGTGCTATATTTGACCCTGTAACTGCCCAAAACGCCATAAAACCTGTACATAGGGGGAACTGTTTTACACGTGAGACTTTGCTTTTACTGCAATAAAATGCACATATTTGTATTCAGCAAACAGTATTATGACATTGACAGTTAAAATGTCATGTAGAACTAAAAAAAATCCAAACAAATCTTATTTTCTCCTATTTTTTTCATATTAAATTATCTTTCATAGCTAAATATTTGATATTAAATGAAAGCCCTGTTTCCCCTGAATAAAATGATATATAATAAGGGTGGGTGTATTTAATATGAAAGAGGTGAATTACGGTTTGACAGACATGTAGCGCAAATGCCAGGTTTTGTTTACATTTTGTTTCGTTCACAACGTGTACATTTGGCTCAGTCCTTAAGGGGTTAAACATAAAGCATAAACTTGTGTATAAAATACAGTCTACTGAGGTATGATCTTTTACTGAAGTCAGGTGAATTGATAGATTTGGCCTCTTTCCTGTGAAATCTTGTTTAGAGTTGCTTAGAGTTGTTCTATAATTCACTACTGATAAACTGTAGGCTGAACCACAAAGCATTACATGGACATCATAAAGTTGTGGCTTTGAGTCAGAGTAATCTAAACACAAAATTCAGCACGCCACCCTTAAACTGAATACATTTATACTTAATATTGGAATGTTCCTTTAAAGCAGCACTGTCCTTATGCCTTTGTATCTTAATGTCAAGTAATGACAAATGGTTAGGCTCTTGCTAAAGCTCTGCCTGTTGCCGAAGCTTGCTCAAGATCATGCTCTACATATGAAAAAGTAGTCCTTGTTTATTTTTTTTTATTTTTTTTTTATACATATAAAACCAAAATGAAGGTAAAGATAAAAATAAATAAAAACCAGGGGGAATAGAGGGCCAAAATATGGATTAATAAGCAAAATGACAGTGCTGCTTTAAAAATAGTTTTATATAGTCATAGTTAAGGTTGACATTACTTAAGTAATAAACATTACAGCTGTGCTTAAGAAGTTTGCATATTAAAGTGCACCATTTTCCTCTTAAAACATTGCTACTCCAACTGCTTATTTTAACCTTCTTTGCACTGTTCCCTGCCTTCTCCTTGCTGAAGCTTTCCTCTCTATGCTGTAACTTTAAACTGCCAATAGGAAGCTTTGTAATGGGGTATATCACAGCAGTATTATGTTTTCAGGTATTTTTGCTAGAAGGTAGATTGAGCCATTAGCATAGAGTGGCATTTTACACTTTCAATGTGACCGCTAAGTACTTCAGCTGCTTTTGAGGGTAGGCCACATAAGTTTTGGCTGCGTCGGCGAGTGAAACTGTGGTTTGTATTAAACCAGATTCCAGCCCAGTAGGCAATCTGCAATCGTTTGGTGCAGAGGAGCCGGCCTACTCCACTCGGAGGGTGACCCGCAGCCAGCAGCAGCCCACCCCTGTGAGTCCGAAAAAATACCCACTCCGACAGACCCGCTCATCGGGATCAGAAACAGAGCAGGCGGTGGACTTTTGTGACAGAGGTACGGGGGTGCAGCCGAGCTTCAAATGCTGGCGGACGCGCTCTCTCTCTCTTGTCATAGTAGATGCACGCTGGCTGTCTGTTTAGCTGTGACCCAGTAGAGTAGATCTCTCTACGTGTGCCAAGCGCTAAAAGGTAACATGGCAAAACAGTCTTTTTTTTTTTTTCTCCTTTGCAGATGCTAAGAACACAGGTGATCACGATGAGTCACCACCTCGCACCCCGACTGGAAATGCACCATCATCAGAATCTGACATTGATATTTCCAGTCCCAATGTTTCTCATGACGAAAGCATAGCTAAGGATATGTCTCTCAAGGATTCTGGAAGTGATCTCTCTCACCGGCCAAAACGTAGGCGCTTCCATGAAAGCTACAATTTCAACATGAAGTGTCCTACCCCTGGCTGCAACTCATTAGGTAAACATATATTTTGGAGAGTAGTTTTAATTTTTTTCTTTCCCTTTGCTGACCGCCTTTCACACTGGTTTTATCTGAGTTCAGTTTTCACTTTTCTATTCTACAAAAAGTTTTGGCTTGTCAGCATCTCTAGTGCTCTTGGTGTTACCCATGTGCTGGTTAAAGGTAGAAATTATGTGTTTAGGTAAAGGCTTCACTCATACCTTTTTAGATGCTATACAAAGCAGACTTCCATGGTCAGCGGTTCTTCTGTCAAACTTGCAACTACTCGTACAGTGTTATGGAAATTTGCTGGCACTATGTAAATAATAAAATAATAAATAATTTGCTGCTTGTGATTCTAAAATATTGTTTTTTGATCCCATGAACTGATTATTATTATTTTAATGTCATCCGATCAATAGGCCACCTAACTGGGAAGCACGAGCGGCACTTCTCAATTTCCGGCTGCCCCCTGTACCATAACCTGTCTGCTGATGAGTGCAAGGTAATCCTATGTTTGTTTGTTTTCCTGGTATGTTGTATCTCGGCATACATGCTGAAAAAGCTTGCATCCTATTAGTTCACATCTCCCTCACTTAGGTTACCACACCCCCTTCTCGATGGCTTACATATACCGAATTGTGTTGAATTTCAGGTAAGAGCACAGAGCCGTGACAAACAGGTGGAAGACAGGATGCTTTCCCACAGGCAGGATGAAAATAACAGACATGCCACAAGACACCAGGTAGGTGACGTTTGTGGCAGGAATCACATTAGAGGCTTTGTCCTTTAAAGTGGCTCTCTCATTTCTATGAACCAGGGTATATATAGCCCTATTCTAGTAGTCCTACTCAAATAGTTTTGGCCAATTCTCTTTTATACAAATCTGCATCTGATAAGCACTTTGATTGTTAAATACAAATTATAAAATACAAGATAGGTCTGAAGAAGACGTAGCGCAAAAAGGACATCCCCTTTTTCTATTGAAGTAATGAATTCCCCAAAAATTAACCCCAATTGGATTAAAATACAACTTTTTCGTCATGTGCAAAAAAAGTTGAAGGCCATATCGGTTTCAAATTATTTAAAAAAAAAAAAAAAGTTAAAACTTTTTTTTGTATTTTTATTTACTGCATATGACGTAGATTTACTATATAATGCTGTGAGGGCTCATGCTCACCTACTGTGCTTTGAAAGGAATGTCAGAGCAGGCATATTCTAGTACAGCACTTTCAGGGCAAATGCCCATTTGTATTCGAGTTCTCTTTGAGCATCATAGTGCAGACACATCATAGTGTTAATTGGAATGAATAATTTAGGTACTGTAAATATCAGAGAATGGAATCTCCTCTTTAAATATACAATTTTATTTATTTTGAGCTTCAGGGCTGTAGTTCAAGGAATCTAAATGTTATGTCAAGTAGAGAATCTCTACAATAGAACCCAAGGCTGTAGGATTCTGATAGGAGGTAAACAAACCAGACAGGACCATGTGAGACGGGCATGAAACTAGAGGATGGTTTGTATTTTCCAGGCACCCACAGAACGACAGCTGAGGTACAAAGAGAAAGTCACTGAACTCAGAAAGAAGAGGAACTCTGGTTTGACAAAAGAGCAGAAAGAGAAGTATATGGTATGCTCAACAAAAGATGTAAAAAGGATCACTAAAATGTACATTTTACGCCCTAACCTTAATGCAAAAGTGGAAGAGGGAGTGTATGTGTTACATTATAGAAGTTAGTCTTTGCTCCCAAAAACCAATTTTATGCCACCATATTTAAGAACTCTTTACATGTATATATTCAGTCCCACTGAATATATAAGGCAAGTTAGGTAGCGATGAATACTTATAGGTTCTGTGTTTAAATATTAAAACTACTTTTAGCACAACCAGTTTTATTAAATGTTTAAATTGCCAAAAACCTAAAAATATAAAGTCTCAAGAATTAAAAGTAAAAAAAAAAATCAGCTTTGCAACATATTGTATACAATGCATTTTAGTGATCCAGAGTCCGATATTTAGCATATTGCTGAATTTCCTACTTTATGATTACAGTATCAGCCATAGATGTTCAAAATACTCATTTAAAGCCGCTATACTTTTCCATGCTTCTTGCTGTATCCGTTAATATACCTGCCTTTTGCAAAACCAGTTTTATCTCTGTTATATAAGTGTGCAGTGGTGACCGCTCTATTTTATCTCGCTGTGAGTTTCGTACAAAGAATACTGTGTTAAAGTACAAAATCACTTTTCTCTGTTATACTGTGAATTATGTGAATGAAATTGCATGCATGGAATGATGGGACTTTATTCATTTGTGCTATATGTCATGCTTTGTGTGTGATACAGTGATTCTGTAATGCTAATTCCTACAGCTTATCTCTTTTTCTGGGGTTATGACGGTGTTTAAACTAGGTTACTGAATCTTCTTAGTTGCATGATCAGTACACAGCCAGAGTAATAACGCTTTGGAAATACTCATACATGGTGTAATGTATTCTGTCATTAAGATTTTGTTAGTCACCCCCCCTTCTTATAATATTGTGAAGCGCTACGGAATCTGTTGGCGCTATATAAATGACAATAATAATAATAATACGAATGTTAAAGTGAAACCTTAAATCCTCCTCTTGAAGCAGGCCTGCATTACCTGCAATCCCCCAAATGTTTAAACTAGGTTACTGAATCTTCTTAGTTGCATGATCAGTACACAGCCAGAGTAATAACGCTTTGGAAATACTCATACATGGTGTAATGTATTCTGTCATTAAGATTTTGTTAGTCACCCCCCCTTCTTATAATATTGTGAAGCGCTACGGAATCTGTTGGCGCTATATAAATGACAATAATAATAATAATACGAATGTTAAAGTGAAACCTTAAATCCTCCTCTTGAAGCAGGCCTGCATTACCTGCAATCCCCCAAATGTCTTTGAACTACAGTGCCCATGATTCTTTGAATAAAACAGCCAACACCCATGATTCATTTAATAAAACTGCCAACACCCATTTTTTTTATGAAAAAGATAGCGATGGAGTCATGGCTGATATCCAGAGGATCATGGGAGTTATAGTTCAAAATATCTGAGGGGGGGACAAAGGTTGTGCAGGCATGTCTTAGACTCTAAGACTTGGAGGATTCGTCAACTTCTGCATTCAGCACCACCCTATGTTTCACTTTGAGATGATAATTCTTGAGTGCTTTGTTTGTAAAGGTTTACATATCTGCAGCAAAGCCTGAATTTCGGTAGTAACATGCTCATTTGCATTAATTAATTGTTTGTTGCTTTCTTTCTCGTAGGAACATAGACAAACCTATGGAAATACAAGGGAGCCACTTCTAGAGAACTTGACAAGTGAATATGACCTGGAACTGTTCAGGAGGGCTCAAGCCAGAGCCTCAGAAGACCTGGTATGTAGTGAGCAAACATATGTAATGCTTAGCTTAATTTGACAATTCATTGCTAATTAGGCAAGATTTTTGGTGATTGCAGAACTTGGCACCACTGATCCAGACCAGTCCATGTATATAATGACCAAAGTCATCTGTTTGACATTGAATAAATGTTTTTACTGGGAGAAATGCCTGCACCGTGCTGTTAGTTGAATTTTCATTTATGTGTGGGTGGAATGTGCACTCAATGAAGAGACTTTAACATTCTCTGAACTGTTTTAAAATCGAGAATCTAAATTCTAAGACGTACACCATTAACCATAAGAAAAAGTGATCTCAAGGTATAGCTTCGCTGCAGCCCTAAAGTTCCCCTGCAGTATGCAGCTCAGAATCTCACACAGAGTGTTCAGCTGATGGTGTGCATGAGGAATGACCAGTCAAAGGCTTTTCATCCAGAATGAATGACATACCTACGTCGCATGGGTGCAGCTGTTCTGTTAGACTTCTCAATGAGCTGTATTACAGCTCACAGAGTAGTCTTTGCAAGGTAGGCAGGCTATGGGCAAGCACCTGCTGCTTCTGCTTCACTCAAGGGAGCAAAGCTAGCTAGAAGAAACACTTGTTGGCTGTCTGACAGCCAGGAAGGTGCAACAGGACTGAATTATAACTTTGTGTTTCAAGTTTTTTCCTTTTAACAAACATTACATTAGGTGTAACATTCGTGGCTACATATTTCTGTAAAAGAATAGCGATTCCTTCTCTTGCAAGCTTATTGTCTAGGAGATCGTGATAAGGACAGAAGGCAATGGGCTTAATGGAAGAGGAAAGTGATTTTTTTTTTTTTTAATGTGTTAGACAAGTTTCAGTAGGATGTGACAGCAATGATGGGGATAGAGGAGAAACTTGGTCGCTTTAGGAATCTGTGTGATCTTTTAGGTGGGGAAGGTGGTAGGCTTGTCTGAATAGGTGAATTATCAGACCGCATTTAAATTTGTGCTGAGTAGAACAGAATTCTAAACATGACTGTCTGCTTCCCTGCAGGAGAAACTGCGCCTGCAAGGCCAAATCACAGAAGGAAGCAACATGATAAAAACAATCATTTTTGGCCGCTATGAGCTTGACACGTGGTACCACTCTCCGTATCCTGAGGAATATGCTCGTTTGGGGCGACTATACATGTGTGAATTCTGTCTCAAATACATGAAGAGCCAAACCATACTGCGAAGGCACATGGTGAGTTTGCATCTTCAGAGATGGTGTTTTAAGATTTTATTTTAAATTTTACTTATTTATTACCCAGTTAAACACACTTTATAGTCTGGCAGAATGGATAACAGTATGAGATCTGGTTTGGCTGCAATTTAACGTTCCTGTCCAAGGAAGTTATTGTAAGCTGTGTCTCATTATTCTCCATGGATAGTTGGTAATACAAAATATCAAGTCATTCCTGTTTTATTCCATTTAGTGCCAAAATTGCCATAAGTCTTAAGCACAAATTTCTCCCTTCAGGCCAAATGTGTATGGAAACACCCACCGGGGGATGAGATCTATCGTAAAGCATCCATTTCTGTATTTGAAGTGGATGGAAAGAAAAACAAGGTAAGATTGTAAGCTCCATAGCCTACTTACAGGATACCATTTAAACAAGCCCTTTTCCCTGGAGTACTGTTACCTAGAGAAGAACTTAAATTCTGAGATTGTGTTCTTTGTGTCTGCTCCTTTCAGATTTACTGCCAAAACCTGTGCCTTCTAGCAAAGCTTTTCTTAGACCACAAAACACTCTACTATGACGTGGAGCCTTTTCTCTTCTACGTCATGACGGAGGCGGACAACACTGGCTGCCATCTTATAGGCTACTTTTCCAAGGTATGTTTACAGTGGGCTTTTTTTTTTTTTTTTTTAAATAACCTTCCTCTGTCTAATCATACTTATTACCAGGAACATACGTCTACTTTAAATCTCAAAGAAATGTACAATTGTTGGTATCTTGTAATTTTTAGGGGGGGAGGGGGGTTTATTTCGTATTTGTGTATTACAAAGCTTTTTGACGTGCATAAAAAGCATTATGCTATGTATGGTATGTTTGGGTTACACACCTTTTTATAGCAAATATTATAGCCTGTTTGGCTGTCTTAATTTATTTTATCCCTGTATTTTTACTACCAAAAACACCACAATAATTGCCTGAAAGCTAGACAGACATTAGTGAAGTGATTGTCAAATGTGTGATTAATTACAGTGATTAAAGACCCATTTTGTTCTGCAGAGATAGTTGGAAATCTTGTTCACCGCAGATTAGAAAATTTGGAGAATAAAGCAGGCAGAAATTAAATTCCTATTTGATCATTTATTAGAAAGTAAACATGACTCAAATTCAACTTGGTTGGATTAGGTTAGTCCATCCTTCTGGGTATTTTTAAAAATAAATTTGCCATGATCTGAGCCAAAATATGTTTAAAAAAATAAAAAGTGTGTGTGTGTGTGTGTGTATATATATATTTGTGTATATATATTGTGTGTGTGTGTGTGTGTATATATATTAGTATACACATACATGTAGTGGCTATGGTGCTTTGAGTCTTTCTTTAAAATGTGTAAACTTGCTCTTTCTATTCCTGTCCTTTTCTCCTCAAACTACCATTCATTCTGACATATCTTCATTTTTTTAGGAGAAAAATTCCTTTCTCAATTATAATGTATCTTGTATCCTGACAATGCCACAGTACATGAGACAAGGTTACGGCAAGATGCTGATAGACTTCAGTAAGTGTTTTCTATTTTGAATATACCCATGACTAATTCTCTATTCACTTATCTAATGTTCATTTTTGTTAGCAATAAGTTTCTAAATTGAAACTAACAGGGTTATTCAAAGTGAATTCCAATGTAAGGCCAGAGTAGCCGAACTGGAACATTTAGAGAACATTTCCAATTCAGCTACTTTTACCTTGAATTTGAAATTTACTTTAAATTATCACTTTGTGAGCATTACCCTGTAAAGACTCATGATAAGCTGGCAGTATAGAGTAGAGATGACGACAACTGTGGAGATTTAAAGGAGATAAGTCTCCAATGATTTGAATACAGAATAGTTTATTCAAAGAAATTGAAATAAAGGTGGCATATTCAGTTACTCTGCATAGCTGCCACCATGTCATATTAGCAAATGTAACTTAATCTTTTACATTCTCAAAAGAGGGTAATTTCAAAGGCAACCCTACCCCTCTCCACCCTTATTTACTGGAGGCAGTCGGTGTTTACTTGTGCTGATAATTGATTGGTTGATGACACTGCCATGTTTTGGCTGCATTGTGAATTCACACATGACACAGGCTATAATGGGTGTCTGTAATTTACAGAAAAGTAAAGTAATCTGGATTGAGTTTTTAAGCATTAGATTATTTTTTTATTGGTAGCCTGGAGTGTTCCAGTAACTCACATATTTTTAATGTCTCCACGTCATTTTAGTGGGTTCCTATTGGTAGGAGCAGAAATCTAATTCACCCTTCAGGCTACTGTTTACATTAAATTATTTAAATGCCTGGCTTTGCAGTGCAGACCTGTTGATACTGCTAAAATTGGTGGTGGCTGTGCAAAAAAAGTTAGCTATTGCATGTTTAGCTAATTTTCCACAATTTGGATTGAATTAAAAAAAGAACCACTGTTTTAAATGAATTTGTTGATTAACCTTAAAGGATTTAACCAAAAGGACTCATTGTAAATTACACATTTTTTCTGTTCCTTCTGTAGTGTAAATTGAAGTCCGTTTCTGTAAACTCACTTGCAGAAGTAAAGTTTAACTGTTTTATGGGACACCTATGCAAAGTTTGCTTTCAGCTCACGGCCTGAATTTTAAGACACAAATGTATTTCCATAAATAAAAACATACAAGCAAACACTGGGGTCTGGGATAATGCAGGTGGCTGCTACAGAATTAACCATTCTTTAAATTTTTCAGCATCTATAGCCAAAAAACAAATTGCACCATAAAATGTTAATATACTTCCAGTGGATAAGAGTGTAGCCTTCCCAAACCTGCCACTGTGTGGTAGGAAGGGGGAGAGGTCTGTGAAAGAAGTGTTAAGTCTGCGTGTGTGCTGAACAGTCTGAGGCTGATTAGTATAAATCTTGTCCATGCTGTAACACTGTAAAGCTTTCACCAAGTTAGTGTGTGCTGAAATAGGCTCCAGTACAAGTTGAGCTCTTACAGGAATCACCAATTTAACATTGAAATAATTCTGATAGGCTGATCCAATGTGAAACATTTTGTCTTCTCCAAGGTTACTTGCTTTCAAAGGTTGAGGAGAAAGTTGGTTCTCCAGAGCGTCCTCTCTCTGACCTTGGGCTCATCAGCTACCGCAGTTACTGGAAGGAGGTTCTCCTGCGCTACCTTCATACCTTCCAAGGCAAGGAGATTTCAATCAAAGGTGAGCATGAAATGTTATTTCGGAATACTGAGTTTTGTACCAGGATTGGATACATTTCACACGTGATTACGATCCTGTTAGTGGCGTTACTTTAACATTGTGTTTTCTGCTTTGTTAGAAATTAATCTACCCGCTTTTTAAAGTCTATTGAATTGCACAAATTCTTACTAATATAAAGTACAATTTAATTTCACCAAATCTCCATGCATAACTTTGTGAACAGTTGTGATAACTAGCAGGTCATCACATATCAGTTTGTATTTGCCGTTTGTGTGGGTTACTGCGATTTTGTTTGTCCTGTTTTTGCATTCAGATACTGACCTGTACTATATTTGTAATGCTTACTTATCTTTTTCTTGTGTCTCTTGATCTAAAAGGTAACATGTTCAATTTTAGATCTTCTGGCTTTGCCCAGTGCTGACCCCTACTGCTTCTTCCACTTATCCTGTATATTTCAGGACTCCTGCCTATTTCTGTTTATTAACACTCCCTGTCCCCACTTCCCTAATGGCTTGCTTTCTGTGCTGTTGCAGAGTGGGTTCCCTTGGGCAATGCACAGATGCGAGATGTGAGCTGATATTGCAGTGAGCCGTTGTGGGTAGTTGATTTGTTGTATTTATACATAGATAACTATTGTCATCAGGCATAACACGATATTGTGTATTTTCAGGCTTTTTATAGCCTTTATAATAATGTGGTATTCGTAAATTCCATCAGATATTGTGATTTATTTAAAAAAAAAAAAAAAATTCTATAAAGGAAAATGCGAGTTCAATGAATTGACTCCCTGCTTTGTGTTTCAGAGATAAGCCAGGAGACAGCAGTGAATCCAGTTGATATTGTTAGCACGCTGCAGGCTCTTCAGATGCTGAAATACTGGAAAGGGAAGCACCTTGTGTTAAAGAGACAGGTAACTGTGCCACCAGATGCCATTCTTTCTGCCCCAGAATACAGTGCTCATTTCGATGTTATGGCTGTACATATTGTGGAGGGTGTCTCACATCCCATAATTGACATTATGATATCAGGTAATCAAAACAGGTCTTGTGTCAAAGATTCCTGTTGAGGATGACATTTTTTGTAAGTCGGTGGCATTTCTTGTACTTTGTTTGTGTTGGAAATAAGTTGATACAGGGTTAAATAATTCCACTGTGAATTTAGTTTGTCCTTTCCTCTAAATGTTGTGCTGATGAGATGTGTTTATTTTTGGAGTAATAGTGCCACCAAGTGGGGGAAGAGGATGGACCATCTTTTTTTTTTTTCTTTTTTTTTTTTTTCACAACCACAGCTTTAAACTGATTTTCTTGTATTTGGGGAAGTGTGTGAATTACAGGGCTTTTTGACCTACATAGAAAGCAGTAATTTAAATGTAATGAATGGCATATTAATGTATTATTTTATTAGTGGCATTTATAAAGCGCTAACATATTCTGCATGTACAATTGTGTATGTTGAAAATTTTATGCAACTTTGGACGAGTTGTATGTTGTCTGACCCAGTACTCACAATTTTGCCATTTTCTGTAACTAAGGAACTAAGGTTACAAAATGGAGAGTATGGAGTCAGAAAACTCATGAGTGAAGGTGCAGAAAGATGGATGTGGGCAAGGCAGGAAAGTGATTTGTTCAACTATTTAAATATAAACAAATTTACATTTTTTTTTAAAATCGATTTCAACAAAAATTATATTAAGATATCAAAGGGACACTATAGGGTCAGGATCACAACATGCCCTGGCAAATCGGCATCTCCTTACAGTGATGTATTGAGTCAGTGCATCTCTAAGGGGGAAGTTCACTGTCTCCATGCAGAACGTGAAGACACTGAACTTCAGTGCAGCAGTGACCCAAAAAGTATCTCTAGTGTCCGTCTGAGTGACTGACTCTGGAGGTGTCCCTCGGAAGCAATGTAAACATTGCCTTTTCTCTGTAAATGTAGTGCTTACATCAAAAAGCCTGCAGGGACATGCTATACACTCTAGAGCTACTACATTAAGCTGTAGTTGTTCTGGTGACTATAGTGTCCTTTTAAAAGCATTTGATCACAGTGGTACTTTAAAACCATGTAGCATATATATTAATTTATCTATTATGTTCATTATCACACCTATTAAATAACCACTGCCAGCAAAAGAGCAGCATTAGTATTGAAACAAAACATTAAGCATACTGTAAATCAGTGCTCTTTTGTAAACTGGAAAAAGAGCAATTTGGGTGCTGAAGGAGTGCTCTGGTTATGACATGTTTGTTTGGTGCTCACACACCAGAAGGAGTCTGTAAAACGGAAAAAGCAAGTATTTGCTACATGACTTATAGTTTCCAGTGCTCTGACATCCTCAGGGATCTGTGTGCTCCCTGGGCAACACCATAGCCTCCTATTAGAATGACTTGCTATTGCTCCCATACGTGTGACCTTTTCAGAACCAACTTCTGAGATCGTGAAACAAGAATACTTGACATTTGATTATCATGACTTGTAATGCTAGTATTGCATTCACTGATCATTCCTACTCTAATAAACTTGACAGTCTTGGAATTGTAAGCACCTTTTCATAACTTTAGTCATTGATCTCAAAATCACGATTCACATATATTCTGTTCATATATGTTCACATATATTCTGTATGAAGCCCAAGCTCTACCCGCAAGTGGATAGAAGTTTGGATCCCAGAGATCTGCCCTGTGTGTCCCTGATTACATTAGGTGCTCTGGCACAGTAATTAAATTGAGCACTCTGCCTCGTTTTAGGATTACTAGGTGTATTGCTTACTGCTGCCCTTTTAGTTACTGCCGCATTGGCCAATTGTTCTTAATGGAATGTTTTCCATTGGTTAGATCTCATATTCGGCTTTACTTGGAGATGGGCAAGTTTGCTCTGACAACTTTTTTTTTTTTTAACCAGAGCAGTGAGGACATCCTGTTCTATTTGAATTATAATCCCAGTGGAGCAAATGCACAGATAAATAAGCTTTTGAAAATGTTAATGAAACAAAGGATTCAACCTCCCCTAAACCCCCACCCCACCCTCCCTATTATTCGAAACCACAACTTTTCAGAATCATATGAAAGAACCCAGACAAATTCCTCTGAGCACTCTCCAGTTGACACCAATAAAATGTGCTTGGTAACAGGTCGACTGGAATTGCTCCTGTTTAATAAATCTAGTGTGTGATCCTCAACTGAAATATTTAGTCATAATACTTAATAATTATTGTGATGGCAATATGTTGTAACTTTTTTATATAGGGCAGTGACCAGCATAGCTTACCGAGACACTCCAAGCATCACATCTACTACAGACTGCTATAATGGCCATGAAGCTAGGAGTGCCCTGGTAAAAGACCTCACCCGGGCACTATAACCACTACTGTGGGCTTTTAGAACTAGTCAGTAGTCCTAATATTGTGCCACATTTCCTCTGCCAGTGTACAGATAATGATGTGACAGAGGAGGTGGTTTTCTCTGGGCATGCTTTACAATCCTGGAGAACAAGAGTTTACTTTGAGAATACCTAACTAAGTCCATATTAAACATCTAGAGCAACTGGGAAAATCAGAGTATGACTATCCATGACCTGCCGATAGCCATAGTGAGCAAACCTGAAATCCACCACAGACTGAGTAAGAATATACGGTTAATTTAAAGGGAAATCTCAAACTTATGGTCAAAATAGCAGAACTGGAAAAATCCTCTACGTTAGCTATGCTTCCATCAGCTACACTGGTCTTTGGAATTGGAATTCTCACTGTAGTAAGTAACCCTGTTAACGATTTGTCCAGAACCTCACTGTGTTGAATATCTATCAAGATATGTTCACTAATGTACTCTGTTCATTTTCACAGGACCTAATTGATGAATGGGCAGCTAAAGAAGCCAAGCGATCCAACAGCAATAAGTCTATGGACCCAAGCTGCTTAAAATGGACACCTCCCAAAGGAACATAAACCCGGTTTTTGTCATAGGCAACAGGCGTGTGGAGAGTAGCCTATGACTTGTGTGTACTCTCATCTGGGCCTGGAAATTCCACCTTCCGCCACATTTCAAGTGTTCGGACATCGTTATGACCGTGCTCATTTTGTGCAAAATGATCTTCTCCACTCCACACTCTGCCCCGTGGCAGCCACGTCTCCCAGTAGCTGTGTGACATGCTGTAGTTGTAGTAACATGCAATGTTACGCTAATGCATACTGCTGCCTATGGTAACGGCTCCCTTGGCGGTATCAAGGGGGAAACTGGATTTTAAATGTATGGGGTTTTTCACCACCTGACCCTCTTTTGACTGCCACTGGGATCTTATTTCTTCCTGTGGCTTTAAGAGTAAATGAAATAAGGCTGTACAGTCTCCTTATGGTTTTTGTTCTGTATTTTGACCATCTTACAATTTTAATTAAAATGCAAAAACAGGGTTGTCATTGCTGGTTAGAGAGAGATTTCTATTATCCCTTCTATTTTACATCTCCACATTATAGCTCGTTTCATATTACTCTTTATTGCTGATCCCTTTTACTTCTGCTGTTCTAACAACTCCTTGCCATAGATACTCTGGTTCGCTCACTAAGTGTTGAAAATTATTCCCTGCATGGTCCATTGAGGGTTTGACTAGCAGGGTTATTCATTAAACGTGTTGATTGCAAATATCTGACATTGTCAGTACCCCACAATATCCTAAGGAATAAGGTAAAGTCATATGCTTCGAACCCTATGAAAAATATTATAGTTGGGAGGGAGGGGAAATGACTTATGAAATTTCTGTTGCATCACATTTTGTTCCCCCCCAAAAAAACACATGGTACCCCGTAATATGGGGTCCTTATAGTATGAGTCAGTGCTAGTGTTTCTGATATAAAATATGTACATCTGTTAGTCGATGAGGCAAAACCATATTTTGTATGTAAATGGATACTGGCTAAAAGCAGGTACTGCACAACCCTGTACCAGCCTATATTAACGGATGGCTTCCTTTTAATTCCATCCAAAAAGCAAATCTGCAGAATAATCTGTCTCGTCACCTTTTTATTGGTTTTAATGAGCAAGCAGAGCAGTGTACTGCTAACTGCCAGTTGGACGTGAGCCTTCCGCTGCTAGATTCATATTAATGAATGAAGATGAATGCTTTGCGTCCTTTGACACAAAATCCTTTATAAAATGGTTTCAGACAACAGAATTGATATAACTGTCCCTTGTCCTGGGGCGTAACATTAGGCAACTAAACAGAAATGGAATAGGTAATGTTTTGTACTGAGGCTTTTAATGATGTTTTCATGATGTCTAGCCATTTGGCCGAGCATTGTGGGAAATGTAGACCAGAACATCCACCAATGGTTAGCTGTCACTGTTGTCATGCTTAAGCTTTATGGTAACTTATCTTTAGGTATTGATGGTTGTGTCCTGAAACCCAGATTTACAATGTAAAAGAACAGTCTGCTATATGACTTAACTAGGTTAACCAGAGATGAATATTGTGCTCTGTAGATAAAAAATGTGGAAATCTGACAACAGCATGTACTCTGCTCCAGGTCTAGAAAATCCAGAAAATAGAATTGTTTGCAATTTTTTTTTTCTGCTAGCAAACAGGGGGGAGGAGGGGGGTGACTTTTTAAAAGTTGAGACCTGTATTTCCTGTGATCTTCTAGCGTAACTATTGCTCCCTGCAGTCACCAATTATAGCCCCACGTTTATCTGTAGGAAATAGGAGATTCTAACTGCAGTTACAGGGAGGCTCAAGGGCCAGTAAGACAGACTTCCCAACAGCCACAGTGGATTTTCTGGGACTTTTTCAGATCATTTTAGTGGGTGCCTTGACCCTGATCAGCTGTGAGACAATCTGTGTAAAGCAGCATGTACGTGCACAGATACATGACTTTTTTTACACCACTCCAGTGAGACGTGAATAAATGGTTTTTATGCAGTCATTTTTTATTTTTTTTAGCTGCATTGTTTCATACCTTAATGCAGCTTGCAGCTTTTGCCATGTAATTCACGGACCCATGTGCATGAGCACAACTTTATTGATGTGACCAGGTTACAGCATGTTTTTTTTCCAAACACACAATACTTTGCATTTTTGGTCAGCACATGAACATTTTTTTTCCTTGCAGTTATTAGAATTCATATTTGTAGGGTTCCTCATTTAATGACCAGTTTTCCATAGGAGTATTGTGTGATGCGTGTCCAGAAAAATGTGTTGGATCTGGCAACTCTACGTCACATGTGTGCAATATCCCTGCTCTGAATGTCGTCATGCGTGTGCAAAGTCTTCTTGAGATTACTGCTCACCTTTCTCTTCCTTATGCCAAATAAACAGCGTCATCTAAAGAATGTTCACGTTTTAAAATATTAAAGTTGTGGCAATACAAAAAAATGCTAAATATCACTTTAAACCAACCATTTCAGAAATGGTAAAATGTACTGCTTTAGTTAACAGTTAATAGCCTTCTGAGAACTGTTGAAACCTGTCTGTCTCTCTAGGAGTTAAATATTAGTAAAACGGCCTATTAATTTGCCCTTTCTACTTAAGCTTCCTTCTGTCTTATTGATTTAGCAGGAAAAAGTAATTTCTATCGATTCCAAGCAGAGCTCTGTGTTGCTAGGAGCTCTGTAAATGTTAAACATGGGTTGCAAACTTTTATAGCATGTCCCTTGTGTGCCAGCACAAAGTATAATTGACAAGACTATACACTTAATTAAGAAATGCTTAATGGACTACTCTACAGTAACTGTGTATTTAACATCAAGAAATATCCTAACTACCCAGAGTCAAATCACATCTAGTAAATGATGTCCTGATCATTGGTACAGCAAACTCTCCCTTTATAGAAGGATCCTTTGAGACTCTGAACATTGAACCTTTTTACTGTGCATACAACTGGGTCATTCGCCATTGTATAACTTGTTCAGGAGCCAAAATTCATTTCAAACTTTAGGATAAAGAGTTAGACTTAAAAACTTGGCCATCTTAGAGAATTTCTCAATTTTTAATGAAGATCTGAAATTCACTTGGAATTCCTGCATAATTGCAATTGAGTGAATAACCCAGGGACAGAACCTTTTTACTTTCTTAAACAAGAGTCAGTTGATTTTAATCTGTATATAGTTAGATCTTTATATTTAGAGCCGAAGACGTCACTCTTAAGTTATCACAGCTATCCAGCTTAAAGAATAATGTATATGGAAAAAAAAACTTATTTTAAATACAAATAAGATTTGTCTTCGGTAACCAGAAATAGAACTATAACTTTGTTTTCTTGGGGTACACTAAATTTCAACTATTGTTTTCCTCATCTAGTAAGTCGTCATTTTTGGCAGATGTCCTATTGCCACTTCAGTGATTGTTTTGGTGAAGCCTGGAGATATTCAACCGTGGCTTGCTAGCAACTATTGTACTGTTCTTCATGTTTTGTGAATGGACTTAAATAGTAGGTGGAGGCCCAAGGTTTGATATCTTTGAAGCCATGCCCACAGACTGCTATTAATGCTTTCCAAGTAAAAATGGCAGCGTCGTTAATGTTTTACACTAATTGCTGGAAGTCCTTTTCCGGACTGTTGGCTCTGATAGTTGTAAGCAGTCTTGCAATATTCACTACAATGTCACGGCACATAGTTGATGTGAGATCGGACAACTCTGATATAAATTTGGTTCTTATGTTCTGTTTGATATGGATCCAATATTTGCCAGTAAATAACATTTATTTTTTTTAAATCACACAGTCACTTATTAGGATCATATTGAAGTTATTGTTAATATTTCCAATCTATCATTTTTTTAAATCGGATTACTTTTTTTAATTTACATGTTCAGTTACAATATATATTTTTTTTTAAATTAAAGTTACTAGATAAGTAGCTAACAAAACTTTTTACATTGAAATGTGGCAATCTAGAAGTATTTTTTATTTTTTATATATTTGAAATTGTGTAAAATATTGACTGTTCAAGTGGAAAAGACTAAGAAATATGCTTTCTTATGTATGCGTCATCTAGTACAGTGGTTCTTGACTTTGAGTGGGTCCAAAATTTAGATCCCTGTGTCATTTTAGTGCAGCTCTTTTGATTGGAGAAGTCAAATTTTCATTCATAAGTTCCCAGGCAACAGCCCACAATAATTCAATAAAGTTGGACAAAGGAGCCTTCGAAAACAGGGCACCCCTCCTGAACAGGTGCTGCCAATCCTCTCTAAAGGGAAATAACACTTAATAAAATTCTAACAGGACATACTTATTTCCAATCCATCATAAAGCAGAATCGGGAAGGAAAAGGGAAGGGTGCACACCATAAGCTGTTTAGACGATTTCTGTTACATACTGTTATAGAAGTGTTTTCTTAGAATTAATGTTAAGTGTGCACTGTAACTGCTTCATCTCATTAAAGTAGTTTGAGTGTCTGGAATAACTTGGCGCTGCCCTTCCATTCGGCATTAAACTACATTTTAATGCTAAACTAGATTTAACCTGAGCAGCAGTGGGCGGCTGTGATTGGTTGGAAATGCTAGCGGACTGCTTTCAGCCTATCAGTGCTCATTGCTGGTATCGATTAGTATGGCTAGAAGGAAGTGTGTAATATCTGCCTTAGCCACATCTGCGGTGGGGGTGAGGGACCATTATTTAGGTTAAACTGCTTGAGAATGGTTTTGTACTGAATGGAGGGACAGCGACAGGGGACTCCAGGCACTATAACCAATTTGATTACATGAAATGGTTATAGTGCCTACAATGTCCCTTTTATTATATTACACTTGAATTTTCTAAGTGAATATTGGTGCCCTTAGCTTATGCCATGTACATAATTTTGGTCCCTAATGAAGTTAAGAACCACTAATCTAGTGACTGTTTTTGCACATTCTTTATGTACTCATTGACTATTTAAAAAAAAAAAAAAAAAACACATAGTTCCCGTGTTATAGGAAGTACATATAAAAGATCTGGGGGTAAGTTTCTATGACCAAAATAGATTCACCAACGGCATTCTAATGGCACATTTAGCAGTAGAATTAAGTGGCAGATTTGCTGTTCAGAAGCCGTCGTTAAATATCGCTCTGGTCCTCTAATCCTGTTCTATCTCAGTCCTCCATCTCCACCAAATTTGGAATTCTTTTTACCTTGAGCTACAACTGCCATAATTATCAGCCATAGATTTGCAGAATATTATGAGAGCATTCAAACACCTGGGATCGGGTCAGTTCCGTAAACCATACCATAAAGACCGCTCTACGTAATGTGCACCATCATTAATAGGGCAGGGTATGTTTGAGTTGACAGTTGAGAGAAATTCATAGTTCTGCTTTGTTTAATAAAAGAGATCATGTTTTTAGTTGGTTTGGACAATTGCTTAAACTCATTAGTACCAGATTCTGTGTAACACATGCCTTCATTTAAGAATATGTTAACAGTTAGGATGGACCTTGGTAAACCTGTAGATGTTGCACTGGTGTTCCGTATCTTTAACCTATCTTCCACAAACGGAAGTAAATGTTACCTGCAGCAGAGAGATTTCGTGTGCAGTTTAACAGATTATTTGCACTGGATACTTAGTTTATATTTAAAGCTTTTTGTTTGTGCTGTTAGAGTAAGCTATTTTTTTTGTTACATGCCAACAGGTGTCTTGCCTACCCAATAAAGCATGCACTCTTATTTCAAATGGCTGCATGTGTGTGGATTATGTAAATTGAAAATCAACCATTGAGGAAAAAGGGGAAGGTTTTATTGAGGTGTAATAGTTTGATTAGAAAATAAATATTCATATTACACACACTGGAAAGCTAATTAATAGGAAAATGTCCCATAGTATGTGTATTTGACACATTTGATTTAAAACCTAAATCCCAATAGTCTAATTGGTAACACACTAATGCACAGATCATGATGGATACGAGCTGAACTATTTACAATTTGAGTTTGCAGGTCCATATTATTTACCCCCACAGAGTCCTTTATTGTGCTAGGTTCATTAAAAAGTTGATCCCTTTGTAAAATATCCCTAAGTTCTACCCTAACACAGGTGTACCTATCATCAGAAAGCAAAGCTGTCTGGGAGTTGTCTGATTTTAGCCTATCACAACGCTCATTGCTGAACGCTAACAACTAAACAAGGTTCTGCACATACACAAGCACAGGTGTGCGATACAGAAAGTATCTTTAACGTGTGTGTGTATATATATATATATATATATATATATATATATATATCTGTGCCGGAATATAAAACTTATTAATACAAAGAGAACCACGTTCAAGCACAATACATATCAAAATGCCTAGATTGTGACTGATTCATATGCAACGCCTTTTTTTATACCTAGATTGTTCCCATTTTGTGCTTTGATTTAATAAATACATCAGAGGGCAATCGTTCTAATGATAACCCATCATTGTCTGAGTATAATTCATATTAACAGACTAATACAGAATTCAGATACAAGCATCTAGATCCTAATTACTTACAAATAATTCATGTTGAAAATGCACAGTCATTTATGTCTTATCATTGAGCAGATATGTTCGGAAGATCCAAGGGTAAACAAACTGTGCCAAGCAAAATCCCTGTAAGGACTGATTATATACACCAGAACAACTACATTAAGCTGTAGTGCTGGAGAGTATAGTGTCTCCTTAATATCATGGCATCTAAAAAAAAAAAAATTCTACTTGTTGAAGATTTAAAAAAAAAAAAAAAAAAGAAGGAATTCCTTTATAAGGGTCATGGGCATGACATAGACAACATGAATAAAACAATTGCTAGTACACATGGATCTTGCAAGTCGATGAAATATTAATGAGAGTAAAGCAAGGTTTTAACAGAATCCAAGTGTATTCCAATATAGCATGTGATGTGTGAGTAGCTGTGAGAGATGTATGTGGCAGTGTGTGATGTGTGAGTAGCTGTGAGAGATGTATGTGGCAGCGTGTTTTGTGGAGGTAGCTGTAAGATGTATGTGGCAACGTCTGATGTGTTGGTAGCTGTGAGAGATGTATGTGGCAGAGATGTGATGGGTGGGTAGCTGTGAGAGATGTATGTGGCAGATGTATTTTGGTAGATATGTGCTCAGGTAATTGACTTCTGCATTATATAAGCGGTTTGATTATGGTTGGTGCACATACACAACTAAAATACCCTTAAACAGCCGATTCCTATTCTGAGGTGGACTTTGTGGTTTTGTAAAGGAACCCAAATAAAAATTGTGTGTACAAATTGCTTGCTCTTTTATTTCAAATATGTTTATATTATTCCCATATCCATTCCGCAACCATTTTTGGTTGGGTCTGTGTGTTGCTCACACTAGGACATCAGTCAGGTCAAGGTGAGGGTGCATAGACTATTTAAATTGTGTTCTGTAAGAGATTGTAACATTCAGCTAAAGAGCACTGCTAGCATATGTAGTTTTGGTAGAAGACACAGAATTTCCGTCTGATTATCTGGTGATATTCTCATGAGTTTTTTGATGTGTTAGTGTAGCTTTGAATCATCAACCACTCTATTCTTAACATTGCAGAAAAAGCCTTTTAAATGACCTTGAGCCACTTAAACATATAACTGTGTATGGCATGCTAGGAGTTTAAGAGCCCCAAATGAATGATCAAAATATATTTCACCGTGTCATGGTACTCGATGAAAGCCGTAAATCGCGGTGCTAAGAGTACTGTGAAAATGGTCAATTGTAGAGTGGGCACTCAAGAAACCATAAAATTCACATGTTTCCTTTTGTGTGTAGCTGTCTTCACTTGGTTCTGCCTTACAATTCTTCCAATGATACTTGTGTGCAATAACATTTCAACAACATAAAGGAGTAATGGTAATAAATGAATCTTCAAGGAACACTATACTGTTAGGAATACAAACATGGATTCCGAACGCTAGAGCGTTAGCCTACCTATTTAGATGTTCCGGCCACCCAGAATTAAGAAAATAGAGGATTTTACTCCCCTTTATTCCCCTTGCGTGTCAGTCTCCCTCGGCCAATCCAGTGCACCCGTCATTATCTAGTCATTGAATTACTGACAGCACGGAACCACACACCATCACTGTCCTTTTATTATCTGCTCCCTTTTTTCCCCTTCACATGTATTTGTTATACTATACAGATAACAGGACAGTTATTGGCTGTGGAGTTAAATCAGCAGCCCAGTCCACACTGATCTGTCATTGGCTGAGCTGCAATGTTTAGTGTTGACGCTCTCTCGAAATATGTCCTGCTTTGGAAGTTAAACGAATGCTCCTAGCAGGAGCTTCTAGCGCAACCTTGCAGCCGAGAAGCAGTGGGCATCTTTATCTCCCCCGAGATAAAGTCAAACCATTACTAGACATTTTGGCTACTTACATTGTGGGGGGAAGGTTGGGTACCTGAGCACTCCTTGCACCATAACCACTACAGCTTGCAGGAAATTGTGTTTTCCATCTATTTTTCAGTTGCTCTTATCAGGATATCCTTGCTGCTCATCAATAGTTGGCAAATCGTATGTAATTATGGTGTGTGTATCTATTTATTTATGTTTGTATGTGTATATGAGGGTGGGGGTCTGGGGAAGGAACTGGCCTCTGGGCAGCAGAGAAGGTAAATCCAGTCTGGGAGATAATTTGTAATTGATTACTCACCCATAGTAACATGCAATACAATCAATGACCCCTAGGTGGCAGTGTAGTCTTTCCATTAGTTTTTTTTCCCCCAATGGATATTTTATCAGACACACAATTGTATCTATAGAACCCATGCAAATTTGTGGATTGGTTTGTACAGATGCTAAAGCAAAGATTTGGGAACCAGAAGAGTCCTAGTTTTATCAAACCACTCAAAAATGGTTTGCTTAAAAAATAAATAATCTAAAACCAATATAGTAAGCTGTTGTTATGGTGCCTAGTGCCATTTAACCCCTTAAGGACACATGACATGTGTGACATGTCATGATTCCCTTTTATTCCAGAAGTTTGGTCCTTAAGGGGTTAATTACAAGCTTTTTGCAGCAAGTCTGTGAAGCCAGGATTTATTCTTTCTCAGAGGACTCCTCTAACTGGCTATTCTGCTTACGATGTTGAACATTAAAATTAATATCCCATTGCCTTGTGCAAATAAAGATTTTGCTCTGCCGCAGTACCGATGCTGAATTCAAACATTGGATCTCTTAAGCAGAATAATAATAAAAATTATTTATTTTTTTTTTTTTTAAAAACCTCTTTAGAATTTATTATTAATTTCCAACTTTTATGTAACACAGAAAATGTTCCTACAGATCCTCCAGAAGAGAATGTTATGAGTAATTGCTTCAGTAGAGGTAAAATTCTCTTTGGGGCTCTGGAAAATGGCTTTACAAGGGAAGAATAATAATATCATATAGACCTGATCAATTAATTTCTCTCTTTTTTTAGACAGGCTGGTTGTAAATATTTGATATGTGGCCATTTACCTGCAAAAAAAAACCCCCAAAAAACTTACAAAAGGCACCTTTTCATTTATACTTCACGAGTGCAAGGTTGGAGATTTTTCAGTAACTTATTAGTTTTTGATAAAATATATGCATCATGTTCAGTGATTTGAAGTGGTTATGGTGCCTGGAGTCTTGTTTTGCTTTGAAATGCTGCACATACGGAGTTTAACCTACCTGCTGCCGGGACTGGCTAAAATAACCAAGTGTTGACTATAACTCTGTCAGAACATTTTGGTTACATTTTGCAACTCAATTCTTATTTCACTACAATTCTGAGTTTTGTGAATAAACCCCAAAGTTTAAAGTCACTTTAAAGCCGTCACTATTTCAGATCCTTTCTCCTCACGGGATTAGGCCCTTCTTGTATAGTTTCTGTTACTAATTAAATTAGTCCTATGGGCTGGCAATGATAATACCTGTGGATTTAGTGACTCCTCGGAAATCCTCCATTAAATGTTTGCGACTGTTTGACTGCCAGTGTGTTTTATGACAGTCTGGGATGTTTGTTACGAAAACATCTTGAAATTATTATGTTTATAGAACTTGTTACTTTTTTAACAGTTTGAGGTAGTCTCATCAACCCCATTGCTCCGACATCCCTTTAACTCAATGGCTTCATATTTAACGTGATCTGAAAATATCATTATTGCCAGTTTTTTTCAGCAAAAATATTGTGTGATACTTATTAGCTATAGCACTGACATTTTTCTTTTCTTTTTTTTTGTCAAAAGCCATTAAAAAATTGGGACATTGGGGGGGGCGGAGCCAGCAGCGCAACGGAGCGGTCGCATCTCAGCGAGCTCCGACATCAACTCAACTAAATAGAGCCCTAAGTAGCAAAATCCACGGAAACCTACCTACTAGCCTGCCCACGGAAGGCAGACAGAACATGGGCAGAAAGTCCAAGAAATCAAAGGCGGACAAAAGCCCTCCCGGACGGGATATTGGCGAAATGCTGCGGAACACGCAACAGGCCGCATGGTCCAAGATGGCGCTGGAGGACGATTTTGCCTCTTACTCCTCAGAGGACTTTGACACCGACCTGATGGAGGGCGTGGCCCTCAGGCCGTCACCAAAACACAACACAGTGACCAACACACCCGGAGACCCGGTAACCACAAGCCAACTTAAAGAAATGCTGGCCGAACTTCGCAAAGACCTGTCAGCAGATATGGCTTACTATAAAGCAGCCATAGAAGGGGCCCAGATGAAGATCACCCAACTAGAGGCCTGCGCGAGTACCCAGGACTCCAGGCTGACAGCGGTGGAGCACCAGGTGACAGAACTGGTAAAGCAGCAGCAAGCTGCAACAGACCGCCTAGACACACTGGAGGACCAAAGGAGACGCCACAACCTGAAAATCAGGGGGATACCTGATTCGGTGAGTCTCACTGAACTGCCCCACTACATCAGGCGCCTCCTGGGTGCCCTACTCCCTCCAAAACAGGCGAAGTCCCTGCGGCTCGACGGGATGTTTCGACTTCCAAAACCGACCCGGGCCCCAGTGACCGCATCTGCGGACCTTATCATACGCTTCCAGAGCATATCGGACAAAGCGACACTTCAAAATACACTGAGGGGCAAAACCCCATATATGTTTGAGGGCAGCACACTTACATTTTTCCAGGACATCACCAGGAGTACGCTTACCTGGCGGAAATCTTTGCAGCCGCTGCTACAACATCTCCGCAACAGGGAGATGCCCTACCGTTGGGGGACCCCACGGGCAGTACTACTCACCCTTAACGAGACACCCCACAAAGCACAGAGCTACCAAGAACTGGAAGCACTCCTGACGTCTACGGGTATACTTCAGGCAGCACACACAAAAAGATCAGGACTGTCCAGGATCAACCCAGCTACCATACGGGAGTTCACCCCGAGAGCCCCCCTGGGACCGACACCGACCAGCCCGCCGCCCTGAGCTACTTGGGACCAGAGTCTGCAGGGCGCACCTCTTACCCACCGCCAACGACACCCAAGTTCTCAACAGCTTGCAACCTCCACCCGCACGCACGCCCGGGGCTAGCACTTTGCACGGGCATCGGCTGAAACTGGCAGAACATCCCACCACAGCTCTGCTATCGATGCTGCAAACCCTCTCACACGTGAGGGCACGGATCCGAAATTGCTAGACTAACCCTCCGGCTCCCTGTTATTGTTGGGGGTATGGCCTAAAAATATTTTGTCTTTACCCCTCTTAATGTTCTCCGGGCGGGATAGCCGACACCTGTCTTACCTATGGAGCATATGAGAGGCACCAGGACTTACCCGGCATAAAACTGCTCTTTCTTGTGCCACATCATGTAAATAGGTCTTCCCCACTGCACACGACCCTTAGCGTAACATAGGTTTCAGATGTTAATGTTACACCTTATTGACCGATACTCCTATCCTAGCACTGTTAAATGTTGACCTTTTCATTTATCCTATTGACCTCACTGTTTAACCTTTAAGATGGCAGTCATAATTTGCCACAGTTTATATTATTTTATCTTAAGTATATTATCTGACTCGCTAATGCATGCTGTCACCCTACGAAACCCAGAGAGCCTGCCTATAATGTCTAATTAATGCATACACTGGTCTAGCAAGAATGTGAACAACTGTGATAACATGCCTACCTTAGCACTGTTAAGCGTTAACCTCTTCATTTCATTTTACTTTAAAATCATTACTGTTTAGCCTATCGGATGATTGCTATAACTATATAAAATGTGCAAGATTTCATGCCACTGTTTAATTTAAGTACAATTTCAGACACGCCGTTGGGGCGTATATCAATACGATGTATAACGTGCACAACAAAAATAAAGAATTCAAAAAAAAAAAAAATTGGGACATTAAATATGTATTTGTTAAATTAGACATTTTCAATCACAGACTTCCCAACGCAGCTCAATGAGAAGTCTTTGCAAGGCAGGTAATTGCTGCCTCTTGAGTTTAGCTCCACTGAACCTATCAAACCAGGAAGTAACAGGATTAGTTGTCTGATTGACAGCCAGGTGGGTGTAACAAGGTTAATTTACAAAAGGGCCAATTTCTACTGAAATCTGCAGTTTTTATAAAATGAAAAAAGAATGAGGACACACGCTTCACACATAAAGCATTTCAGCAAGCTAAAGAATCCCTTTAACGCATTATCCATTTCTGTACCAAAGAGACGATTTTAAAAGACTAAAAATAAAACAATACATGTTTTGCCAACCATGAGCAATGGTCTAAAACCTCTCTTGATTTTGTGGAATAGCTTAATCGAACACTCCAAGCATGCCGCAGTGGTTATGGTGTTTGGAGTTTTCATTTAATTCAATCGCATTCTCTAAACAGTTTTTTTTTTTTTTTTCAACCCCTACCTCTAGCTAATTAGGTAGGGTTCATCATTTTTTTTTAGTGAGTGAATATTGATATGTATAAATATTTGGAGATACCCTATTGGGATGACACATCATCCCTCCTGCAAAGCTTTGCCGTTACGAATCCCACTGATTTACTACCACTTCCTTCCGATTTTTCTTTTTGGTTTATAGAATTTTTTCCATGTGACTCATCATTCACTGTCTCTCTTCGCTGCTGTAGCCAGAGAGAATCATTGTGTCTGTTAAAATGTTATTGTGGCATATGTATGTCAACAAAGTTATTCACAAGGAACCTTAAGCAATAAAAAAATAAAATACATATATATATACTGACGCCAAACTATCATTTTCTATTCTACAAATTCCACAGTATCAGTTGAGTTCACTTGTCATCAGAACTAATATGCTATTTATAAAAGTATTATTTTAAAATATTTATACATTCTGATCCATTTTAGTTTTCAAAAGCGGACAATATAGGATGCAAACATGTAACACAATTGCTTTTTCGCAGAATTACTCAATAAGGTGATCTGAAGGTTATTGTTAATTTTAATTTACCCAAGTACTATGCATTAGACCAGGGGTGCCCCAAAAGGTAGATCCCTAGAGGTTACAAAACTACAACTCCCATGATGCTTTGCATGCCTTTTAGAATGGCAAAGCTTTATTGAAGCTGTAGTTTTAAAACATCTGGGGATCTACCTTTTGGGCACCCCTGCATCAGACAGTAGGCATCAGATTTAAACTGACACTTAATGTATCGACCTACCTGTATTGTTGCCATGTATAATTGGACATGTGCAGAGAAGTACGTTGGCCTAAATTTGAAATTCACATTAAATTCACACTTTTGGAAATATCTCTGTATAGATAATCTGGTAGCTACAACTGAATAAAAAAAAGAGATATGCCCTCAATTAACCTATATTTGAACTTGTAGGATTTAAATCCATCATAAAAATAAGACAAAAGGGTATATATCTAAAACGTAACATTTCTTTTTATTTTATTTTTTCATAGATATACATCCTATATGTTTTCTTCAGTTGTAATTCCATTAAAGGTTAACCCCTTGTCCCATATGCCCTAAATATGGATATTTGAGCTCTTTCTTATGTATAATAACCAGGGAATTACTTCCAAATTTTAAACAAACATTTTCCTGTTTTTTTGTTGTCAATCTTTCTTTTATTGAGGCAGATGTTAAAAAGGGTACAGAATTAAGAAAGGGAGACTAACAATAAATATACAAGATAGGGAAATCATATCATAGTTTAACATCTCCTAGAAATGACAGCCTCATTTTATATTAATTAAGTAATCAAGAATAGTGGGAACAGGAACAACATGAAAGGAGTTCAAGCAGAGAGACAAAACTCGTGTACAATAACTTTAAACATGAGAAACTCCTAAGCGAGTCAGGAAAATGCATTATTCAAGCAAGGTATGCCTGAGCAGTATATGGTTAATCACAATTTATAATGCTGGTGTCCTCGGGTGTACGACAAAGCTGGTACAAGCTATGAGCTAAGTATTGCAGGCTGGGTGCGTGCTGGTTGCATATTTCATGGTAATGTAATAAGCTTAAAAAGCCTCGGTCCCCACCCCTCATCATACGCTAGTGTGTAACATAGATCGGGCCCAGTGACCCCAATATCGGCATGGCAGTGGGTGCATCGAGTGTGTATGTGTCCAGCTGAGCTAGTGTTTGTCTATGCTAGGTGTATGCCTCGCGTGTGCGTTTCCACTGTGATGTTGCATCTCTGCTAACATACAAATCATGCATCGGCTAGCTGCCAGTTCGGTGCCCATCCTTATGCAAACATTTTAACATATACGCTATATCGTGCAGGCATGGAAAATACTTGTCACTACATCACAGGTATCCGTGCTCTCCGTGAGTGGTATCATGCGCAGGAGTGGAAAGACAGGCAGGTATGTCGTTGTCACGTAAATATTCCAGCTTGTGGGCAGTCTCGCAGCTTTCTGTGCGTTTGAGGTGTAAAGTCCGGGCTCAGCCTATGCCCCGGCTCGGCTTCAGGCTTAGGGGGTAGTGTAGTGACAAGAAGCAGGTTCTAAGCAAGTCCTCCCCATAGCCCCAGGCTGTCATGAAGGCCTGCACCTCTTGGCTGCGAACCTGGTAGCTCACGTGGGAGGCCGAGTTCTTCCCCTGCAGGGGACAGCTTTGGATCCTCAGCGTTGGTGGCCGATGCTCCGGGATTGCTTCCCCGGTGGTCTTCAGCCCGGGCGGGCCCATCGTGTGGGGTTGTAGTGTTACTGTGAAAGTAGCGCCCAGGGGGGTCCTGCTCATCTCCCACCCCTCCCTCTATCCACATATTCTCCACAACCGGTACTGTAGTTGTCGTTAGGTGGGCAGAGAGCTTGTCACAGAAGCTGTTGTATGCCTTTGCCGTATAGTGTTGCCCAAGCTCACGTGCTCTGCTCGGTTACCACATCGTACTGTGCACGAGCCAGTTGGTAGTCGGCCATCTTGGGGTACACTGCCCAGTCCATGATTCTCAGCAGGATGGGTGTTGAGGCGCAGCTGTATGTAGTGGTGGTCGCCCGTGGGGCCCGGGATGACCCCCGCCAGTCCAGGGGATCATGGGGGGGGGGGCAGCAAAGCGCCGGTCGGAGAACTGGAAGAGCGGCCGTCTCACCCCAGCTCAAGCTCGTGTAGGCCTCAGGCCTCAATTGGGTTACTTTGATGCTGTTTGGGATTCTATTTGGTATCCCCGGGTTCACCGTTGACTGGTGAGTACTATGGTCACCAATTCAGGTCGGTATCTGCAGCCTGCAGTTATCTCAGATATTCCGACTCAGATGCAGGAGCTAAAACAAGGCATGTCTGATCCGACCAGAACATTTTCCTTTTAACATTGTGTATTTCTAATGCTGATTAATTCAGATTTGTCTTTCAGCCAAAGTTTTAAAAAGACTGGCATAAATAAAGCTGTACTAAAACAGCTGAATATTGATGCAAATTGTCATAATTTCATTTCAATTCCAAGCAGAAGATCCTATCAATCATATCTAATACAATAAAGAGACAGAGATAATTTTTCCACTTGATACATTCCTCATAGCCAGAGTGCTAAAAAAAAAAAAAAAAAAACAAGATGGCTGCTCTCCGTAGCTGTATGATGCCTAAATATATTCCCACCTAACTCTCCTGATTTCAGTGGGACTGCCCCGATTTCTTTCCCTGGTGTCCAAAATCTCAGCACCCCAGGTACTGGCCCCACCCATCATTACTTCTGCTTGAGCCGTGTAGGAAGTACTTTAACAGTCAGGATGACACCTTCTGTAGGCTGCCAATTTTTGGCATTGCCAGTGATGTCACCAGTACCTCTTTAGAATTACCCACCCCTGCCTTGATTTCATACCTCCCAGGGTTGTAAGGTGTTTACGAGGTCTGTACAGAAAGTTTCCTGTCATTGTTAATATAACGAGCAGTTTAAAGGGGACTGAGGCGTCATTGTCCTATGTACAATGTTTCTTGTATCTTAAATTACTATTTTTCATATTACGTGGCTGGATACTTTCTGGACAGACCTTGTATAAGCATACATAGGAACGTTGGTTCAAAATTCAATTCTACATTTTGGAGGAGGAACAGTAACTACTATACAAATGCGGCCATGACAGTACCGCTTCAAGAATAGTCAAATTATAGCACGTTAGTACTGACTTAGTAATGATGTAAGTGTGAGAAGCAGGCCTGAAAGGCTGCCAAATGAAAACTTCACCATTATAAATGAAAACTAATATATGTAATCATGGAGGTTTAAACACTTTAGATTATCTGGCCCCTTACAATGCCCTAAACAAAATATAAATAAATAACTTGCCTCTCAACGACTGGCGAGAGGGGACATCAGCAAAGCTCCGCTAAACCTCCGGGAGATCACGGATTTCGAGTGTTCCTGTAAACACTAGGGAGTGAGTGTGCCTAGACATTTTTTATCTGTCCTGGGATTAAAGCTTTGTCTTGCTTTATTAGCAATCATTGATCAAACCTGTAGCCTTCAGGTCAAAAACTTACACAAGTAAAACTTACACAAGTAATAAATGTATTATTTTTCTTTTATGAGTGGCATGCTGCGTGTTGTAGAATTGTGTATAAGTGTGCTGACTGACACAGATGTTATTAGAATTCTGTGAACAAAGTTTCTAGGAAATGTGTATCTTTATGTTTCCTGGTAATTTTTCTCCCTGTCCCTCTCCCCCCCCTTTTCTCTCTCTCTCCCTGTTTCACTCCCCGCCTCTCCCTCTCCCCCCTTTTCTCTCTATCTTTTTCTCCCTCCCCTCTCTCTCTCTTTCTCTCCCTTTGCTCTCTCCCCCTTTCTTCCCCCCCTCTCTTCCTTTGCTCTCTCTCCCCCTTTCTCTCCCCCCTCTCTCTCCCTTTGCTTTCTCTCTCCCCCCCTTTTCCCCCTCTCCCTTTGCTTCTCTCTCTCTCTCTCTCTCCCTCTTTTCTCTCCCCTCTCTCTCCTTTGCTTTTCTCTCCCTCCCCCTCTCTTTCTCTCTCTCTCCCCTCTTTTCTCTCTCTCTCCCCTCTTTTCTCTCTCCCCCTCTCTTTCGCCCCCTCTCTCTTCCTCTTTCACTCTCGGTCTCTTTCTCTCCCCCCTTAAAACATTTCTAAATTAGTTAATTAAAGGGATAATTAACTTTTTATGGCACTAATTTAGTGAAATGAACAATACTAATGTTAAAATTACATTTCTGAGAATGGTCTTGTGAAATTATATTTGGAGGAAAAGTCAGTAAGGACATATTAAACATGTATATTTTTCCCCATTATTTTTTATGTTTTATGGTTGCATGTGTGAATCTCTGTATTCATAATATCAAATAAAAAAGCAGCTGATAGTGGAGACTGTATGAATTATTTCACATAGCGAAAAATATAGTTAAACAAAGTCACAAAAGTGGTGTCACAAACTAAATAAAGTTTGTGCATCAGCACATATTCACAAACTGGATAATATTCATGCAATAGTAGATTAGCCTTTGTTGTGCTTATCGTATGGTAGGCATGTTCATTGTCTTTCCAGATACTTCGTTCTAGTTTGTTACTTAAAGAACAGGACAATTACTGTCGACTGGAGTGAGAATTAGTAACTCTTAGCCCAACTGATTTGAAGGTTTGCCATCATCGTTCAAAAGGGGTGCACCAGCTACAATGCAATTGGAAAACTAATGAGAGTCACTGGGGCCAAGAAGGTGAAGCTTTTCATGAGTTTAAACAGAAGAAGGGCTACTAAACTGGTTCATGGATTGCAGGATAAAACTTACCAGGAAAGGTTAAAGGATCTTAACATGTATAGCTTGGAGGAAAGACGAGACAGGGGGGATATGATAGAAACATTTAAATACATAAAGGAAATCAACACAGTAAAGGAGGAAACTATATTTAAAAGAAGAAAAACTACCACAACAAGAGGATTTAGTCTTAAATTAGAGGGGCAAAGGTTTAAAAATAATATCAGAAAGTATTACATTACAGATAGGCAGTGGCGTATACACAATCCATGGGGCCCCGGGGCGAAACTGATCCATGAGCAGCTGGTACCCGGTCGTGGGGGTCCACAGGGCTGCAGCTGGTACCCGGTCGCGGGGGTCCACAGGGCGGCTAGGCCCCCTGGAGTGACGGGCCCGGTCACAGCTGCGACCCCTGCGACCGCGGTATGTACGCAATTGCAGAGATGGTAGTGGACGCATGGAATAGCCTTCCAGATGAAGTGGTAGAGGTTAATACAATGAGGGAGTTTAATCATGGATGGGATAGGCATAAGTCTATCCTAGCTATAAGATAAGGCCAGGCACTAATGAAAGTATTTAGAACATTGGGCAGACTAGATGGGCTGAATGGTTCTTATCTGTTGTCACATTCTATGTTTCTAAAAATAGTTAGATAACCTGGGACAATAAGGACATGGATTGGTGGTGGTCGTATGAGCTACAAGACAACGTATTGCTTGAAACAGCAACTTGAGTGCTTAGAAGAGCCGATGGAATGTAAAAGAGGTAAAACTAAATTCAGGGAGGAAAGGCTAAGACTTTGACTTTTAGAATCCCTGGACGACTTCCAATGAAAAGTCAGAGTATATCCTAATTTAAGCTAAATAAAGGCCTAGGAGCTTGAAGCATAACCTGCTTTTAATGATGTTGCCATGACATCTCATTGCATGTATTCCAGACTTTTTCATTTTTCATTTTGTGAACTGAAGGGAAGTAGCATGTTCTGTCCACCGTACATTTGGGACATCCAATCGAAATGAAGATCTTACTAATTAGATTCTAATAAAATCTTGATCTGTTTAATCCAATAATTTTCTTACAGGCGGTTTCACAAGTAATTTTCTTATATTAGCTCCCTGCCCTTGAAGTTGGCAAATGTAAATGAAATCCCAATGGGATTGTTCGTCACTCAATAGATGTCAGACAGGTAGAATTAGATGTAGTGCTAGCTCTTTTCCAAGTTAAAGATTATTCATTTTTTAAAATTATTATATTATTATGGTTTTCCCCACATTGATCCATCATCTGTCTGATTGGTAATGTACATACCTCGGACAGAAACTCTTGCACTTGATAGCTGTTAAAATGGAATTGGTTCCTCCTTGTGAGTGATGCATTCCACGTCTTCTTGAGATAGATGCTCTATTTGAGAAGAACTCTATGGTTTGGCAGTGTTGATTACAGTTCATATTCAACTTGATTATTTTGAGGGAAAACTGGTCCCCAAATATCTTTCTAAATTCTTGCATTAGTTTCCAAAATTTCTGCTTTGATGTAACCCAGTTCGCCACATTTCCCCCATACTCTTTCTATTTACGTTTCTGAGCTTCTGCGGGCTTCCAAATGGTTTTGTTTAAAATTAAAATGTTTTTTTTCTTTCTTAACTATTTCATAACCAAGGCCTTGTCAAAGCCAACTCAAGAAACTCTACATGACCACATTCTCTAAATAGTTAAGGTTGACTAGAGTAAAAAAAAAAAAAAAGATAAAATAAAAACAATTCATTTACTTCTACTCTACCCTCCCAGAAAAAAATGAACCCTTTAATTATTTTTATTTTTAGTGTCTCCAAACCATCCTTGGATCTTGGCTACGGTTTAGGGGCTGCACATGAATGTGAGTGGGTGACAGGAAGCCTGCAATCAGTGTTCTGACCAAAGGCACGTGTCCACGTTTAGGAATGATCGAGGGGAGAGTGGGGGATGGGAGTTAGTAAGCTGGAAGAGAATCGGTCAGAGACGGAAATAGCTGTTGGGGACATGTATATTTAACTTACTTATTGTAACTAAAATCCTAGATTTATGATGCTGTCTCATAGCCATTCCTTAAATATCCACGAAAATCTTTTTAATGTCACCAAGCAGATAATATCAGAAAAGAGTGATTTTATCAATGTGTGATTAAGGTGAAGACGAATTGATTTTTCGGAATAGGAAAAAGTCTACTTGTCAGTAGTTCAAGGCGGTTGTGGTTATGGAAGCCTAGTCATCGAATAGAAGGATCGTGTGGATTCTGAAAACAATATTATCCTGGTTAATACATGTATGACTGTAAAATTATCAACTCTTACAAAATGCTCTAAGCCGGAGGTGGGTTTACAGATAGACAGTTATATATTTTAGATACATGAATACAAATCAAATAGATAAACAGGGCCTTTGGCTTAAAAACCAATGTTGATAGCACCTCCTCTAAAGTGCTTTGAAAAACAGCATGTGAGCTTACAATCTATTTGGTACACATTTACCTTTAAGACTTATTTGCTAAAGTGTAAATTGTTGAGAATTCAAAGTGAATTAAAAAAAATTCTCAAAAAAATCGCTAAAAAATTTAAACAAAGCTGACTTAAAGATTTTTTATTTTTTTTTGTAATATGGCTGTCGAGGCCTAAAATCTGAAAGTCACTTTGAATTATAATTAGTGGATAATACGATTTGAATGCTAAAGTAGCTTTAGTATTAGTACATAGAAACATTAAAAGGGAGATACAAAGTGACCTCTGTTGCAAGTTCTGTGTGATCATCACCATTATGTTCCCAGCATGCTTTGCATTATCATATTGATTCACAGGCAACGACTTGATAATCGTGGTACATATTACATTTCTGCTGCAGAATAGCACTGGTTTGTGTTGGACGCTAAAGGAAATAATTTTGGTAACCCCTTGATGACAATATTTATAAGGTTATCAGAGATCACGTAATTAAGGAGCTTAAGTACATTCTTTTAGAATGTGCCTTTTCCTCCAAAATAATTTTTCTTCATATTGTTAAATAAGTGCAGTTGTTGAACCCTACCAAATAATTTAAAGGGACACTCCGCGGTCAATTTTAAACTCCACCTTCTTATGCATTGTATATTTAATACACAAAAAAATATAAGACTTAAAAAGAATTTCTGTTAGAAATATTTTTTTTTTTTAAAGTATCTTTCTTACTGCAAGATCAAAGAAAGAAAATGTCTACCTGAGAGCAGCCATCTTAGCCATTGTTGATTGTCTTGGGAACATGCAGATAATGACAGTACACCCATCTTCAGTAGCAGTTGGAATAACTAGGCACATAGATATCTCTCTCATACACTAACAAATTATTATTTTTATTTAAGCCCACCCAGCCCCCCTACATTGTGGAGAGCTGGAGTGGGTCCTTTCCCTGGGGTCCGTGCGAGGCTTGCTCCAGTGCTGAAAAAGCGCAAAGATTACATCTCCCGTGCCTTCGCCTCCATTCACCCCGAGCTTGTGGCCTATAGGGGGACGCTAAGGTGGCCAGTCGATCAGCTGTTGTCACACCTCCTGCCTGTAGTGTGCATACCCCCTGAGGTACACATACCATGGGTTGAGAAACTAGAATGTAAACAATCTGACTAAAGATGGCTGACCGAAAGGTGAAGTGGGAACAGTTTTGCATTCAAAAAAATAAATAAATGGTATCTTATAACATAAAGCTCATATTAAGATATTAAAACGTGGATTTTTTTTTTACTCTATTACCTTGTAATAGGTTACATTTCACTTTGATAAAGAGCAACCATTTTAAATCCTTCACTTAAAGACTTCTTGAAGTATACCGATGCATAGTGTCTCTCTGTTTAAATTTTTTTTTTTTAAAAGCCTGAAATCGAACAGAGGCGTCTATCTGTCTGTACACGAGATAGCACCTAAAGAGGCCCAATATTATAATGTCAGATAGTTAAACATATTGATGGCAGATGTCTTTAGTTAGAAGAAGATGAGTAGAAGAAGTAATTTCAAGTAAAAGAAAAAAAACCTTTTATCGTACAGAGAAAGATCAATGCCTTGAGGTAACATTAAACCTGCAAGTGTCCTAGACACATCTACTATAAAACCCCAATATTGTCTGGTCTATATATTTTTGGCCAGCATGGGTTTATAGGATATAGTTTAGTTTGCAAGCAGTGTTAATTTTGGTGGCAAATTTAATTTTTTTTAGTTATAGTATTTTGACTAAAAAGCTATTTTAGTTTTAGTCGTATTTTAGTCCTCTGAATTGTTTTAGTCTAGTTTTAGTTGACTAAATCTCCAGTAGATTTTAGTTAACATGATAAAATCTAATGGGTTTAGTTAAAGCCTGTCTCTTTTGCCCCTTCTCCAGCCCCTCATGTGTCTCGTTCTCCCAGTCCCCTCATGTGTCTCCTTCTCCCAGTCCCCTCATGTGTCTCATTCCCCCAGAGCCCCATGTGTCTCCTTCTCCCAGTCCCCTCATGTGTCTCATTCCCCCAGAGCCCCATGTGTCTCGTTCTCCCAGTCCCCTCATGTGTCTCATTCCTCCAGCCCCCCATGTGTCTCGTTCTCCCAGTCCCCTCATGTGTCTCATTCCTCCAGCCCCCCATGTGTCTCGTTCTCCCAGTCCCCTCATATATCTAATTTCTTCTCCTCCTTCACCCACATGTCTTACCCGACAGTGTTAATTTTGGCAGCAAATTTCAATTTAGTTTTAGTCACAGTCTTTTGACTAAAAAGTCATTTTAGATTAATTCTAGTTTCAGTCGACTAAATGTCAAGCATGCTAGTCGACAAAATTAACACTGTTTGCATGTCCAATTTCATTAGTCAGTAGTGGTCCTGCAGTGTAAATTGAAAGTAATTCATTCATAGCATCCAGGCCCGGACTGGCCATCGGGCATACCGGGCAAATGCCCGGTGGGCCACGATGGCCGTGGGCTGAGGCCTGCAGGGGAGATCACAGGATCTCCCCGGCCGGCCCATGCAGGGCCCGCGCTATCCGAGCGCCGGCCCTGCTGTGTGCCTTCCCCGCTGGCTGGGGAGGGAAAGGAGAGAGGACCCGGGAAGGGAGAGGAGAGAGGACCTGGGGAGCTCCAGCCAGTAGCTCCGCCGGATTCCTCTCGCGGGATTCTGAGTGTTGCCACGGTTACCACAGCAACACTCAGATCTTGTGAGAGAGAACTCTAGCCTGCAGTGTGAGTTCACTCTCACAAGATCTGAGCATTGCTGTGGTAACCGTGGCAACACTAGGACCACCAGAGAAGGCAGCATGGCTCCCCCCCTCAAGCTAAAGGTAAGAAGGGCGGGGTGAGGGGGATATAACTTTTATTTATTTTTTATTAATAAAAAAATATATAAATTTAGAAAAACTAATAATTCACACAGCACCCAGCACACAGCACCCAGACACACACAGCACCCAGACACACACAGCACCCTCAGACACACACAGCCCCCTCAGACACACACATCACCCTCAGACACACAAAGCACCCAGACACACACATCACCCTCAGACACACATAGCACCCAGACACACACATCACCCTCAGACACACATAGCACCCAGACACACACAGCACCCTCACTCACACAGCACCCTCAGACACACAAAGCACCCTCAGACACACAAAGCACCCTCAGACACAGACAGCACCATCACTCACACAGCACCATCACTCACACACAGTACCCTCAGACACACACAGCACACTCCCACACATATACAACACACACACACATATATATATATAATATATAAAATAACCCTCAGTGAGTTAGCAGACAAAGAAAATTAGAAACATAGAATGTGACGGCAGGTAAAAACACCCTCACACACACACACACACACACACACACACTGCACCCCTCACACATACAATACGTCCAAATATATATATATATACACACACATTACAGCACCCCTCACACTGAACTACTACACACATTATGCTCCAGATACACGCTAGATCCCTTACCCTATATGCAGGGCCGGATTAACATAGGGGCTGATGGAGCTGCAGCTCCTGGCCCAGGCCCAGGCCCATGGAATAGGCCCATTTAAATATTTTTATTTTTTTTTAACTTATCTTTTTTACACACTACTCTTAGGTTTGCCTCCTGACTGGTATTTTAAGGCACAGCCAATATTTGAGGCTGCCTTGCCGTGACTGTATTGCAGTAGTACCGGCAATACAAATGCAAATATTTTCCTCAATATAAACGGAGTTTACTATGCAATACCAGCGCCGGCCAGTAGGGGTCACTGCATCTCCCTGCCTCTCTCTACTCACTGATCTGCTGGGAAGCAGCTACACAGCACAGAGAGTCCAGACAGCAGCTCCCAGCCTGCAGAGACAGACTACAGCTCAGGTAAGTGAAGGATGGGGGGAAAGGCAGTAGGGAGACATGGGGACACTGAGACACTGGGAGATGTGGGGACACTGAGACACTTGGGGACACTGGGAAACATGGGGATACTAGGGGACACTGTGAGACATGGGGACACTGTGAGATATGGGGACGCTGTGAGACACAGGGAGACACATTGGGACAAAATGTCTCCCAGTGTCCCCATCTCTCCCAGCCAGTGTCCCTAGTGTCTCAGTGTCCCCTAGTCTCCCAGTGTCTGTGTACCCATGTCTCTCAGTGTCCCCATATCTCCCACTGTCCCCATGTCTCCCAGTGTCCACATGTCTCCCATCCATTGTCCCTAGTGTCTCAGTGTCCCCATGTCACCCAGTGTCCCTCTGTCTCCCAGCCAGTGTCCCTAGTGTCTCAGTGTCCCCATGTCTCCCAGTGTCTGTGTCCCCATGTCTCTGTGTTCCTGGTGTCCACATGTATCTGTGTCCCCATGTCTTCCAGTGTCCCCACGTGTCTGTGTCCCCATGCCTACCAGACAGTGTCCCTAGTGTCTCAGTGTGCCCATGTCTCCCTGTGTCCCCTAGTCTCACACTGTCTGTGTTCCCATGTCTCTGTGTCCCTAGTGTCTTAGTTTCCCCAAATGTTTGTGTCCCTAGTGTCTGTGACCCTATTTCTCTCAGTGTCTCCATGTCTTCCAGTGTCCCCATGTCTGTATCCACAAGTGCCCCCAAGTGTCTCAGTGTCCCCAAGTGTCTCAGTGCCCCCAAGTGTCTCAGTGCCCCCATGTCTCCCAGTGTCCCCCAGTCTCACAGTGTCCCCCAGTCTCTCAGTGTCTACATGTCTCACTGTGTCCCCATGTCTCTCAGTGTCCCCTAGTATCCTAGTAACACAGGACACACTGAGACATAGGGACACTGGGAGAAATGGGGACACTGACACTGGGAGACTAGGGAACTGGGTAACATTGGAACATTGACACTGTGATACATAGGGACACTGATGTCAGGCTGGCCTTCCAATTCTTTGGACAGACATGCCCCCTTTTTGGGCATGTACAACCCCTTTGGAAGTTCTGGTCATGAGATTCGCGTCAGTGGCCCACCCTTTTACCCCGCCCATTGACTGTTAGGGGGTATGGATTTACTTGAAAGATGATAAATTAGAGAGAGATTAGCATAGAGTATGTGTTTTCTTATAGCTGCATCCTTTGAGTTTCCCTCCAACACCAACTCCATCAGATACATGACGCTTGAGAGGTATGACTGTTTTAGTGTTTTTGGTCGATAAATTCTGTAATTAGGCCCCATCATAATTGTCAGCACCAGGCCCACTGGTCTCTTAATCTGGCCCTGCCTATATGCACTCTTAATCCTCCACACACACACACCCACACTCACACAATCTCCTATACACACTCCGGGTCCTTTACACACTAGATCTCCTACACACACACACACACACTGCACCACCTATACACCCTACATTCCTTGTAAGCACACATACAACACACCCTCTATACAACCCCTACACACACTACGTCACCTATACACACACACACACACATCACACACTACAGCCCGTATGCACACACTCGCTACATCCCCTATAACACTATGCCCCCTATACACACACTCTTTACAGCCCCTAGCCACACATATTACACCACAAACACAAATTAAATTGACCTATTTACACAATACACCCACACTCTACACACACTCAATTCCACAAGCAGGCTCCAAACACATGCACCGTACACTTTCCTGGCCCTTTTGTCCTCTGGTATCCCACTTGTGGAGACACCAGAGACAATTTAAAGGCAAACAGAGCGCAAGCATGTTATTACATTTGCTTGCGCTGCGCAGAACAAATACAGGGTCTTTTTCTAATGCTAGAGCTGCGCAGTGGGGCTCTGCATATTGAATCAACATGCTCACTTTGAGAGGGGGCGTGCTTGTCATTGGTCATTAGGGGGCCGCTCTGATTGAAAAATGCCCGGGCCTAATTTTTTTCCCAGTCCAGCCCTGATTGCATCATTTACAGTTTTCTTGATCGTACTGTGTCCAGCAATCTCCCAGGCCAATGAATATCCATGACCCCAACTATTTTTGAAATTTGGACGGTGCATGCCCGGCCCACTCACGTCAGAGAGGCACGTCTTAGAGCTGATACTTGTTTTTTGTTTTAAATTTCAGCATTTATAAGTTGTTCTGTTCGAGAAGACAGAGATCAGTCATTATAGTTAGATGTTCCGAAATAAGGGGACGTAAATTGAGTGGGTAAATAGTGAAACGTAAGCAGTGATTGCTAGAAGTGAAACAACTCAGTTTGCTGGGAAGAGTTGATTCTTTTCTGAAATCATTACTTGTGTTTGTTTAGGAGAAACAAAAGCCTGTGATTTGAAAAGTCAGTGGCTTCTCGGATGATTAAAGCATAAAAACACCCAATACAGACATTAGTTGGTGGGCTTCCTCGAGCGCAAGTTTTTAATTTTGACTTTTTTTTATTTTTTTTATTTGTGTGGGGTCTTACCGACCACCCATAGCAGACCGATTTTAACATTCGACTTCTGGTAAACATTGCTTTCCATCATGGATGGGGATAAATACAATAAGGTTTACTCACTAAACTTCGAATTTTCACAAATTAAATCTGAAATCAGAGGCAAAAATAGCCAAGCTGTAACTGTGGCTGGATTGGAGAATTGCTTACGGTCAGGTATTTTTGCCTCAGTTTTACCATTTCGATTTACTTCGCAAAAATGTGGAGTTTAGTGAATAACCCTGAAAAGTTTGTTTATGACAGAGAATGCAGTCTAATAAGATATGTATGTCTCTCCCTATAACCAGGGGCGTATTAGCCGCGAGGCAAACAAGGCATTTGCCTTGGGCGGCATTTTTCAGGGGGCGGCAAAAAACGCCGCCCCCCAAATGCCTAGTTAGCCTCGCGGCTAACTGACATCCCGAGCGGGCGGCGCTGGCAGGCGGGCGGCTGGGGAGGGAGCACTTCCTATGAGCTCTCTGCTCAGCTCCCTCGCGCGCCGCAGAGTGAGGCTGGGAGCCGGAAGATGACGTCATCTTCCGGCTCCCAGCCTCACTCTGCAGCCGGCGCGCGAGGGAGCTGAGCAGTTAGCTCATAGGAAGTGCTCCCTCACCAGCCGCCCGCCCGCCCGCCCGGCAGCCACTGGACCACCAGGGATAGAGACCCCCCCCAGCACTCCCAAAGGTAAGGAGGTTGGGGGGGATTTAAATTTAAAAAAAAGTTAATGTGTGTGTGTGTGTTTGTGTCTGACTGTGTTTGTGAGTGTGTGTGTGTGTTTGTGTCTGACTGTGTCTGTGTATGTGTCTGACTGTGTGTGTGTGTGTATGTGTCTGACTGTGTTTGTGAGTGTGTGTGTGTTTGTGTCTGTGTGTGTGACTGTGTGTGTGTTTGTCTGTGTGTGTGTGTGTCTGACTGTGTTTGTGTCTGTCTGTGTTTGTGTCTGACTGTGTGTGTGACTGTGTGTGTATCTGTGTATGTGTCTGACTGTGTGTGTGTGTATGTGTCTGACTGTGTGTGTTTGTGTGTGTGTTTGTGTCTGACTGTGTGTGTGTCTGACTGTGTGTGTTTGTGTCTGTGTTTGTGTGTTTGTGAGTGTGTGTGTGTGCGTGTGTCTGACTGTGTATGTGTGTGTGTGTTTGTGTCTGACTGTGTGTCTGACTGTGTGTGTGTGTGTGTCTGACTGTGTGTGTGTTTGTGTCTGACTGTGTGTGTGTTTGTGTCTGACTGTGTGTGTCTCTGACTGTGTGTGTGTTTGTGTATGTGTCTGACTGTGTGTGTGTGTGTGTCTGACTGTGTGTGTGTTTGTGTCTGACTGTGTGTGTGTATTTAGAAGGTGGGGCGGGGGGGAGGGTTGGATGGGGGTGGCGCGGGGGGAGGGGGGCGCCTGAGTTTTGTCCTGCCTAGGGCAGCACAAAACCAGGATACACCACTGCCTATAACGCCTCCTATTCCTCCATATAATCTCTCCCAATAACTCCTCCTATTACTCCATATAACCTCTCCCTATAACTCCTCCCATTACTCCATATAACCTCTCCCTATAACTCCTCCTATTACTCCATATAACTTCTCCCTATAACTCCTCCTATTACTCCATATAACCTCTCCCTATAACTCCTCCTATTACTCCATATAACCTCTCCCTATAACTCCTCCTATTACTCCATATAAACTCTCTCTATAACCCCTCCTATTACTCCATATAATCTCTCTCTATAACTCCTCCTATTACTCCATATAAACTCTCTCTATAACCCCTCCTATTACTCCATATAACCTCTCTCTATAACTCATCCTATTTCTCCATATAACCTCTCTCTATAACTCCTCCTATTACTCCATATAACCTCTCCCCATAACTCCTCCTATTACTCTATATAACCTCTCTCTATAACATCTCCTATTACTCCATATAACCTCTCTCTATAACTCCTCCTATTACTCCATATAACCTCTCTCTATAACTCCTCCTATTACTCCATATAACCTCTCCCTATAACTCCTCCTATTACTCCATATAACCTCTCTCTATAACTCCTCCTATTACTCCATATAGCCTCTCTCTATAACTCCTCCTATTACTCCATATAACCTCTCTCTATAACTCCTCCTATTACTCCATATAGCCTCTCTCTATAACTCCTCCTATTACTCCATATAGCCTCTCTCTATAACTCCTCCTATTACTCCATATAACCTCTCCCTATAACTCATATTACTCCATATAACCTCTCCCTATAACTCCTCCTATTACTCCATATAACCTCTCTCTATAACTCCTCCTATTACTCCATATAACCTCTCCCTATAACTCCTCCTATTACTCCATATATCCTCTCTCTATAACTCCTCCTATTACTCCATATAATCTCTCCCTATAACTCCTCCTATTACTCCATATAACCTCTCCCTATAACTCCTCCTGTTACTCCATATAACCTCTCCCTATAACTCCTCCTGTTACTCCATATTATCTACTTATAGCTCATTATATTAGTCTATATCATATCTCCCTGTAAATTCTATTACTATTTAAACAGATGTCATATGTTTTTATACAACAGTAACTTTGAGGTCTGTTCTTCAAAGGGAGTAGATGTTCTAATAACAATGGTACTGGTTTGTGTTATAATAATGGTATTGGTTTGTGTTATAATAATGGTACATTTCTGTTCCCTTGTTGTAATTCATGTTTCCGCATTGTAGAAACATTTCTTGCCCAGCAGCGGCTGGAATTCCAGTGTGCTGTCTGCAACTGTCACAGTGTCTGTTGACTTGTCTCTCTATGTGTGGGATTACCACCCTACAGGCACTATTGTCTTGTTTGGGGTAGGCATTGGAGCCAGGTGGGGAGTGAAGGGGGCGGCGGAATCCCAAAATCACCAGACTAACCACAGCCTTTCCTTACTGCGACAAGTCTGGACAGAATAGCATTAACTGCAAAAGCAATGTGACTGGTTTCTGTTAACCCTGAACATTCTGCCACAATGAAGAGATAGGAGATATTTGCTGACACTAATGGGGCTCATTCACAAAACCCTAAATTAAAGTGTGTTAAAATCTGAACTTCAAATTTCAGATTACAATAGCCAATTTGTGACTATTGCAAAGTTTAGAACATTTCTAAATCGTCTATTATTTTGGCCTACATTTTTCATTTTGGGTTGAATTCCCTACAATTAGTTTGATTGGACATATAATGAAAGTATAATTTTATCTTTTATTGTTTTGCTCAAAAAGAGTATGTGGATGTAGTCACTTTGGTTTCATTCCAATGATTGGGCACTAATTGAGAATCCTGTCCTTCTATATTGATATTTTGGTTGGTGCAAGAATAACTCTAAATAAGTTGACCCTAAAACACAACAAAATTATTAAAGGAACACTTCAGCATTAGGAAAACAAACATGTATACCAGTGTTATACTAGCAAGTTGCTAGATTTTGGTTTCCCCTGGAATAATTAGTTTTTTTAACTCACTTTATTTCACCCGGAGCTCCACTGGCTGAGATCATCAATACTGACAATCTCAGCCAATCCAATGCTTCCCCATGGTGGGTATCGCAGTGCTGCACCAATCAGCATCTCCTGGTAGAGATGTATTAAGTTAACGCATCTCTATGGGGAGCGTTTAGCGTCTCCACGTAGAGTATGCAATATTTGCTGCACCAAACCAGGGATTCCCCTCCAGTGACTCTCTCTAATTTTGTAAATGAGCTTAAGTTTACTACTAAAAATTTCAATGGTTGGCTTTAGTAAAATTATAAGAATATATTTATGACATATTGATGATATTGATGATGACACAGTACCAAGGCTTGAATCATATAAGTATCATCAAAACTTACATAAGGCAGGTACATTTTACTTTACTGAAAATGATTTCTGGTCGTCGATGTGCTTCTGAGGACTGCAGGATTCATGGAGTCTGAGTCACGGATTGTACGTCTATTAAATTCTTCCCACGGTGAGTTTACAAGTGGGACTTTGCACTGAATAGGATATAGAGGCGCCATATGTCTGTTTAATACAGGACAAAAATATATTGCTGAGTCACCTGTGTTCAAGTGTTACGTAAACAATACCGGAATCAAAATATTGGAACTCTCAAATACATTCAAAAAAATGAATGAAGTCCCAATGTGCTAGGTCTGAACAGCCAGATTCTGAAACTCATCCTATTCTCCCTGAGATGCTAACACTGATTTAAAGGACAACTGTTACATCATTTTTAATATAATAATCCTTTTGAAAAGGAAATCACGGTCTAATCCAAGGCACATGTATATGGCTGAAAGATACTGTCACATACTAAAGATTGGGATGAGATTTTCTCATTTTTACATATATTTCATTTAAAAAAATCTATTTATTTTCAAAACTTGATGAAAGGGATCAGGGATCGATATCTAACAATCTCTAAGTGATGAAAATGCCACTTTAGCATCCATCATATACAAGGCTGTCAGGGCACAGGCTGGCATTCCATTTAAATCACTTGACATCCCATGATGCATTATGATTGAAATTATTACCTTTGAAAGTTACTGTTACCTTTGAAAGTTACTCTCCCCAATAAATGCTATTAAAGATATCCTGGTATTGCCTCTATACCAGTCGTTTGCCCGTCCTAAAGCCCCAGATCCATTTCCCTTATTGTTGGGTGGTTTGTTGTTTAAAATGATTGAGTTTTATGAATAATAATAATTATGGAAAGAAAAAAAAACTTGATGGATAAATGTTGCAGTTCTCTCGAGTGGAATTCACTTTTCAGTGACTGCGCCTCTTTGGGGTTATGTCAGAAAACAGTGAATTTGGGTCAATTTCAATTTAAACTTGGTGTATTTTGACGAAGATATGTGGGAGTTTAGCTTTTTTTCACTACAACAATTTTTGTCTAGATTTCTTACATTTATTTTTAAGTTGACAATTTACTGTTTAGTGAAAAGATTATCTTAACATCTCATTTCCTATTTCTGTCAGCCTGTCTCTTTTTTTTTTTTTTCTTCCCCTCTCTACAGCATCAATTCTCAAAGCTGTCTCATTCACCCCGGTCTTTGATGTCCTTTAGGGACACATCAAACAGTCTGCTTGCTGCACATGAAGAGTAATTACAGTACTTGTTTTGAAGGTCTCATTAAAAAAAGACAAGGATTCTTGTTCCCCAACCAGAGTCAACCACATAGCTTCAAGCCCTTAGTTTTAAAATGTTCAGCCCTACGGCCACTTAGGACCACGCATGAATCGAGAGTGACACTGTCCTGGAATTCCTAAGAACTAGTCTGTAATATGTTTTTTATTGATATCTTCCCTACAGTAAAGCCCATCAAAAATGCTCATAAACTTGAAAAGGGCCCGACATGTTCTGGCACATTTACTTAAAGTGGCTCTGTCATACAATTGTTACAGCATTACCTAGCACTTTAAGAACTACCTATAACCAGTGGTGGTGAATTTAAATATCTATTAAAGAAGTAATTAATAATGTAATCAAACATTTCTAACTAAAGTCAACTTGATGTCACGTGACCGTCATTGTAGAGGGTGTTCTACATTATCGGACAGTGTAAACTTTGAGCTAATTATGTATATAATTCGCAGAACACTAATTTGCCCTTTTTCATGCCCTTTTTGTTCGTCTTATTAGTTTCCTGAATCAGTCCTTTGGTACCAAAATTCTGTGAAGCTGGACCAGCATATACAGAGCTAAAGTTCGATTGTCCCAAAAACATTTATATGTTCATGAAAAATTGTTTGGCTAAGCCAAATTTCCTCTCTGTGTAGATGTCTACAAATTAATAGATTTCTCAAAATGGCATATAGAGATATGGTCCGTCTTTCAACTGTCATTCAGTTGGCATAGAAGGCTAATGGTAATTCCCCCTATGCTGCCGGGAGAGCAGGTGTACCCTGCTAAGGCAATTCTTTATACTGCTGGATCATACTTCCTAACTCCTCCGAATCGGGTAAAGTGATTGTGTCACTAGCTCCGTCCCAAAGGGTACGACCAACCAAGTTAATGGCACATCAGCCTGGCATGAATGCACCCCAGGCTGCATGCCAATCATGCATGATGGCCAACTGAGGGGTGCCCTGCACTGTTTCAGTGCTCCATGCAGGGTCCTGTCCTAGTGTCTTATATATAGCGCAAGCACATCTATCAGGGAATTAAGGGAGGACAGTGGGACAGGACCTAACATTCAAAATATTTAGCCCATGTGCTTACTCCTTGTCCAGCTCAGTTTTCTAGTGTCGCTGAGTCTTGCACCTGTGTTACCTACATTATGAAGCATGTACAGCAAGACTATGTAAATCCATAGTTAGAAAGAGTGATTAACTTTGACTTTTGTACTGCAAGTGTCTAGGAACAAGAAGTGAAAACATTTTGAATAGTCTGTCCAAAATTATTGAAGAGAGAGAATTCCGGGGAGCAAGAAACATCATTGGCTTGATCTTCGGTCCATCCCTCTAATTGGCTACCCCGTTGTCGGGATTACTAATTTATTCAGCACGTAGACTTGTATCACACCTACGACTAAAAGGTAATATCTTACCGGACCTTAGAATGGCTGGACTTTACGTACCAAAGAATAGTCAGAATACTTGCCGAGGTTGGGGACACAGAATGGGACACAACGATAAGGGAAAGCCAAAAGTCAGGGATACCAGAATACAGGGAAGTCAAAATGAAGCCAAAGTCAATAACCAGGAATAAATGCTCAGGAACACACTCTCGGACAACCACTAAGGGAAAGCACGACAGGGCAATGAGGAAAAGTCAAAAAGAGTTTAAATAAGCCTCTCTGGGATCCGATTGGCCGTACCCGACCTTTGACCCCAGAACGTGCGTGCGCGTCCTTTACGTGACGTCACACACACGCTGACATCGTCAATGATGTGGGCGGACGTGGGGTTATAAATTAGTGTGGATCCGCAGCGGCCGGCATCCACCAACAGGCGGCAGGAGTCAGACACATTGACGCATGGTCGCTGAACAGCACTAATGCATTTGTTAGCAAGGCAATTACTGCAGATGCCGCAAGGTGA